TGGTCTTCTTTACGTATGCTTTTCTTAAGTTGTTGTTTCTCAAGGTACAAGTTGTTTTTCCAGTCTTATCAGGATATGCAGACATGAGTCTATATAAATCCTAGTGAAGTTTCATTTGTATTTTCAGATATGGGCTTTAACTTCTAAAATCTGTGTTTTTATGTAAACATTATGCAATTCAAAATATCTCATTTAAAAACAAGTTCCAGGGGCTAATATCATGGCACAATGGGACACCTGCATCCTATCTCAGAGTGCCTGATGCTAACGCACCCTGGGAGCAGCAGTTTGGGCCCCTGTCACTCATGTGGGAGATGCAGATAAAGATCTAAGTTTCTAGAACTGGCGTGGCTCAGCCCTCATTTTTGCTGGCATTTGGGGAGTGAACCAGTGGATGGAAGATCTCTCTGTCTCTCTCTATTGCTCTTTCAAGTAGATGCAAATAAATAAACATTTAAAATATACATAAAAACAAGTTCCAGTAGTAAAATGGAGTAACAACAAAACTGAGTATTATCAAATTTTGATAAGCCCTGTACCCCATCCCTGGCTTAATGAGGTGCTCCCCCTCTGCACCTGACTGCTATGATTCCCTGTTACTTTACAGCACTGGTTCAGTATTGACTTTCTTGTGTCTTCCAGCAGATTGTGAGTTTACCAAGATTGGGGTTATGATACATTTCTGTACCCCAAGTGCCTATCATGATACCTTGCTCACAGTAGGGAGTCGGTAAGTCTTTGGTAAATGAAGGCAATGGTTGTTAGGTGAGAAGCAAGGATGAGGTTGTGGTACCGATTTCATATGAAGCTCTTAGTTTTTAAGGATGATTAGAATTTGAAAGGAAATGGAAAATAGTGCTGAAGAGTGCCTAATGAGAACAGGCCAGATCATTGTTCCTAGTGGAAGAAGGGGGACCCTCTGCATTAGAATCATCCCAGCTGCTTGTGAGAATGACAGATTCCACCTGTACCTCCCAGCCACCATCCCCGCGTTCTGAACACGTACCTCTGGATTTAGCTTCAGAGTGAGCTTCTTAAGAAAGTTCTTTTTAAAAAATGATTTATTTTCATTTTTTTTGAAAGGTAGAGAGATAGAGACACAGAGAGATGAGAGATCTTCTGTTTGCTGATTCACTCCCCAAATACCTGCAACAGCCAGGGCTGGGCCAAGGCGAAGTTGGTAACTGGGAACGCTATCTAGGTCTTCTATGTGGATGGCAGGGACCAAGCGGCCACCACCTGCTGCCTCCCAGGATGAGCACTGGATGGAAGGTGGGTCATAAGCAGGGACTCAAACCAGGCACTCTGATATGGAATGTGGGCATCCTAAGAGGTGACTTAAAGTCTGTGCCAAACATGCCCCCATGTTAAGAAAGTTCTTAACACATTAGCAGAGAGTCCTGATATCCTTTGGCAGCTGTGGGCAATTGGAAGCTGCGTAAGTTCTAGTTGAGGCACAATGATGACCTGATGGAAATGGAGTTATAGGGAGAGCAAGATCTGGTGGTCTGCAGAACAGATCGATGGACAGATCTCAGAGGCGCAGTGTGAACTGTCAAGAGTACCCCAAAGTGTTGAAGATGAGAGGAGGTGAGACCTTGCTTGGAAGTGGGGGATAAGCAGTGACTATAAGAGGCCTGTGGAGGGGTGAAATGACAGGTCCAGGGGAATATAAAGGCTGATGTCAGAGAGGAGTTTGAAACAGATCTGGGCCCTTGGAAAATGGCAGTTCTGCTGATGCACCTGCTGTTTCATTCTAATGAATTCTGTTTCAACTTGATGTGTTTGAGGGGGCTGGGAGGCGTCCAGGTGAAGGTGAGAGAGACCTTGGCAGTGTGGGCTCAAGCATGACCGAGGACCAAGAGGAAGATGAGATGTGGGAGCCTCCACAACATGAGGGAGGAGGGGGCAAGCGCCTGGCAATCTGAGTTCAGGTTTTCATAGTGAAGGGCTTAGCACTTTCTGATATGTTTAATGTGATAATGAAAACTCTGGATGGCAAATTGTGATGAGTAAATAATGACAGTAATGAGCAAAATAGACTTCTGACACATAGACTCCTCAAAAGGGCACCCTTTGGTGAGATGGCTGCGGCATGGGGGTGGTGGGAGTGAGGGGCAGGGACTCTAAGAGGGAACAGAGGAGGTGTCACATAGAATGGGACAAAGCTCTGTTTTATGCTAAAACAGCATGTCGAGATGTACACGGTGCAGAGCACTTAGTATGGGCCACCCTGGCATCACAAACTCTGGTATTCTAATTACAGCTTCCACTTGTGGGTGGATGAAGATCATTGTGGGTGCATAAAGGTTCATAATTACTTGAGTACTTACGCATGTTTTCTCTTGTGCATCTGCATTTTATTACTTGATTTTAGATGGTAAATCCCTGGGAGTCTTTTCTGTAAACAGTTACCTGCTTCGGAATAATAAGGCGGGCAATCATCATCAGTAAGAGTCATGCATTTTCTCCTATTTATATATATAAAGTTACTTGAAAGGAAATTGGTAGAGGAAAAGAAGAACAATGGCTTCATGGTGGCCCCAGGGCGATTAGTATTGTTATTTAATCTGAAGTAAAATGTTAGCGACTCGGGTTCTGGGGAATTGCTATAACAGGAGTTTAATCTGTTGCACTCCCAAGGGTGATGTGAAGCTGTTGGATGAGATCTCTGCACTGTTTCCCGAAGCGTAAACCAGGATGTGAACCGACAAGGGACTTTTCTTTCTTCTGAGTCATGGCTGTTTTCCTGCTCCTGATTTTCCAAGTTCCTACTTAATTGTTGAGTAATAAACTTTGTTTCTGCCCACCACCTGGTTCTGCCCACCTTCTGACTTCATTTCATCGTTAGTGCATCATTGGGCGGCCTCACCAAGTTGCTCAAGCCCAGTGTCATGAGGGCACGGGAGAGGTTCCTTGTGCTCGGTTTTCCATGAATACTTAACTGCTGCCCTCGTTCTGCTAGGGGTCGTGGATCGCAGGAGCAGATTTCTCTCGAGGCCCGTCTTCTCTTCTGACATAGCAACTCTCTTGTTCCAGGACAATTTGTAGAAAGCACAGCAACCTCTAATGCACCTTCAAGCTAAGTAGCTTCTTGGAAGTTGTTTTCCTTCTTGACATTTTATCTTCTGTCTATGTGTGTGCCATTTGTAAGTCTTGCCTTTTAACAGGCATTGATGAACAGCTACAAAAACTGTCATTTTAAGAAAGAATAAATGTTAGATTATAAACTACATACATTGCATGATTTACTTATAGCTCTCAAATGGAGTTTACCTGTCACTACTTTCAGTAACATTCATTTTCAAATGTCATGTGAGCCATTTCTTTTAATTATAAAAGCAGTCCATATCTCATTTGTTTTATAAAACCAAACATTATGGAAAGGGGTAGAGGAAAATGGAGAAATTCTCCTTCTCCATATTCTAGCCTTTAGTACAGCTCTTCAAAAACAGGCACTGTTAATAGTGTCTTAAGAATTTAAGAACTTGGGGCCGGCGCTGTGGTGCAGCGGGTTAACTCCCTGGCCTGAAGCACCGGAATCACATATGGACTGGCTGCTCCAGATATCCTGGCTGCTCCACTTCTGATCCAGCTCTCTGCTATGGCCTGAGATAGCAGTAGAAGATGGCCCAAGTTCTTGGGCCCCTGCACCTGCATTGGAGACCTGGAAGAAGCTCCTGGCTCCTGGCTTCGGATCAGCACAGCTCCGGCCGTTGCGGCCATCTGGGGAGTGGACCAGCAGATGGAAGACCTCTCTCTCTGTCTCTACCTCTCTGTGTAACTGTCTTTCAAATAAACAAAATAAATCTTTAAAAAAAAAGAACTTAAGACACTATTATGCATGCATATTCTAAGTATGTACAATTTTACTTATATTTATACATATATCTGTTTGTTCAAGTAGTCATACTATTTGTTTTTTTTTTGTAGAGCTCAAAGAGTAAATTTTTTTTTTTTTTTTGACAGGCAGAGTGGACAGTGAGAGAGAGACAGAGAGAAAGGTCTTCCTTTTTGCCGTTGGTTCACCCTCCAATGGCCGCCACGGCTGGCGCACCGCGCTGATCTGATGGCAGGAGGCAGGTACTTATCCTGGTCTCCCATGGGGTGCAGGACCCAAGTACTTGGGCCATCCTCCACTGCACTCCCTGGCCACAGCAGAGAGCTGGCCTGGAAGAGGGGCAACCGGGACAGAATCCGGCGCCCCGACCGGGACTAGAACCCAGTGTGCCAGCACCGCAAGGCGAAGGATTAGCCTAGTGAGCAGCGGCGCCGGCCGGGTACCTGTCTTAAAGTCAGCTGAAGAGCACTATCCCTTCACAGCAGTACCTGTGTTAGTGTTTGATCGACTAACTCGGAGATGTGTGTATATACCAGGGGCCAGGATTCTTACGGGCTATCTTCAAATCCTGCTCATAACATAACACCAATTGCCTACCTCTAGGAAAGTAAGCAGATCTCGTGTCTTTCTGGCTTAGGAAATCCTATGAAAATACTCAGTGCCAGAGGAAGGAGGCCTGACCAGAACCCATCTAACCCCACGTGCAACAGAATACACATATGTTTAGCAAAGATCTTGATATGAGCAATGGAACAACAGAAATCAGGAGGGAAGATCTAGGACACCACATGGACAATGCAGAGGTCAGGCAAGGATGACTGAGAATCCAAGCGTGGTATTTCTGATTCCATCATCTGCCCTGCTGACCGCCGAGCCGCAAGGCCCACTCAGGGGCAGCTCATTCCCTGGCTGCTGTAATGGATTTTGAGTCCTCTAACCTCACTGCCTTTTCTCAAGACCAGTGTGACCAGAGTGTGCTTTTGTGAGATGCTGACCTGGAGTGTTCAGTGGTTCAGAGGGAACTCACCAGAACCTACTAGATGAGCCACTAAGGGGGACTGGATTGATGAGCATTATTCCAAAATAATTCTAAAAGAGCACTCTCCCCTTCCCTTGTCTCTCTCTGTCTTTCAACTTTCCACCTGCTGCTGCGATTCAGACGCATTGTACGTGACTTGCTTGAGACAGAAGAGATTTACATAAAAGAAATTAAGAGCATAATTGATGTAAGTAGATTGGGGGGGTGTTAAACATTTATGCAAACTGGAGAAGTTTTGCTGCACAAAGAGACTCAAAATAATTGCCTCATGTCTCTAGAATTCCCACAGGGGTTCATATCTTCTAATATCACAAGGGGCTCTCTAGTAAGAATAAGGACATGTCACGGCTCTTGATTCATGAGGACTGTGCCAATTCATACTGATTCCAGCAATGTCCCACTGGTTCACCATATGCTTGCCAGCAAAGGATATTATAACTTAAATGTTTTTGATAGTTTAATAAGGAAAGACTTTCTGCTTTTTAAAGTAGCATTTTTTCCCTCTTTCCTTAGGGAATAATCGTAAGGAATAGAGTACAAATGCATAGTTCTCCCTCTTTCCTTAGGGAATAATCCTAAGGAAAAAGCTGTATTTTAAAGTTACTTCTTATAGCATATTTTTACAATAAAATTCCGGAAGCAACTCAAATGTCCAATAAAAAGAGGGAACAGGTAATAAAGCATGATGTACGTGTTAGATGTTACTCAACTGTTTAAAATAATGATTTGGGATAATATGTACCAATATTAACAAGTGCTCTAAAATGTATATAGAAAAAAATTGCAAAATTATGTATGTAATGTGTTGGGAACTAGAGAAAATGAATGTTTTAAATTCATGAAGACATAATTGCATCAAATCATAAAATGATAGGTAAATTTTTCCTTTCTTTCACATTTCCATACCATGTAAATTTCACATTTCCATACCATATAAATTTCACATTTCCATACCATATAAACATTTTAAAATCATTCATTCCTCCCATAAAAATGCCATTTTATTATCATTGCCATTAAACCATCTTCTTCTGAAGATGGACACATGAGGAAAATGATATCAGAAAAAAGTGTGTTGATAGTATAGCCTGTAGGAAAGATGTGTGCTGTATTCCCCGACTGGTAGAGTTTGGTTCTTGGAGTGGCTGATTCAAATCATCTCTTTCTATTTTGTTTCCACTTCCTCAGGGATATATCACTCCAATGGACTTTATTTGGCTGAAGCATCTGATTCCAGACGTTCTTCAGAATAACAAGGACTTTCTCTTTGGGAATATTAGAGAACTTTATGAATTTCACAACAGGTATATAATACTTCACATCATCACGAGGAAGGGAACATACTAAGAGGGTGGAAATCAGACTGATGGCATTTGGAGAAGAAAGTGCTTAGCACTTTCTTTAGCACATGGTTTGGAGTCAGTGGCTTGAATTGGCGTGGGATGGGGTGAGGAGGAGGGGATCAGACCCGCAGGACCACAGAGGAAGAAGGAACAAGACATCAGCGGAGCATGTGCTGGTTGCCAGGCTTCGGTGTGGCACTGAGTTGTGTGTTCCTTTGCTCCTTTAGTTACTCATGTATCAGTATTTAATGAGCACCTGTTCCATGCCAGGCACTGTGCTCAGCATTGGGAATACAAGGATGACCAAGACACATGTCCACATTCCTATTATCACAGGGCGGTGCTAGGTGTTAGACAATGTTAGCTGGTCACACATGTTGTCCTCTTAACCCAGGACTTTGTGGGTGTGGCATTCTAGAGAACTGGAGGGAAGGAAGTTCGGAAATCATTTTTCAATCTGATCATTTTTCTAAAAAAGATTATTTATTTATTTGAAAGTCAGAGTTACACACAGAGAAAAGGAGAGGCAGGGGGGGGGGGTCTTGCATCCAATGGTTCACTCCCCAATTGGCTATAATGGCTGGAGCTGTGCTGATCCAAAGCCAGGAGCGAGGAGCTTCTTCTGGGTCTCCCACGTGGGTGCAGGGGCCCAAGGACTTGGGCCATCTTCTACTGCTTTCCCAGGCCATAGCGGAGAGCTGGATTGGAAGAAGAGCAGCTGGGACTCGAACTGGCAGCCATGTGGGATGCTGGCACTGTAGGCGGTGGCTTTACCCACTACGCCACCCTTAATCCATTCATTTTGCACATAAGGAAACTCCCGCTTCTTGATTCAGTTTACTTAGGTGAGGACCCCCAAGATCATATGACTACTATGGAAGGAGAAAGAACCTCAGTTGCTTCCTTCCGCAATCCCTTGTCTGCTGCCCACATGCAAAACTGAAATGGGAGCCCTTTTCTGCCGCTTTCCTTGGAGAAGTTATTCAATCTTTTGGGGCTTCAGGTTTCATGTTTATAAAAGCCCTATCTTGGGGCAGGTGATTGGCCTAGCAGTTAGCATACCTAGTGTGCATGCCTAGGTTCCATGCCTGTCTCTGGCTTCTTACTCTAGCTCAGGGTTGGGGGCAGGGTGAGGTGGGTAGCAGAGGTGGCTTAATTAATTGGGTTCCTGCCACCTATATGGGAGACCTGGATTGAGTTCCTAGCTTCAGCCCTGCCCGGTCCAGGCTGTTGTGGGCATCTGAGAGGTGAACCAGTGGATGAGAGCCCTCTTTTTCAGTCTATATGTCTTTCTCTCTGCCCCTCTACCTTCAAAAAATTTTTTTTAAATCAATAACAACAACAAAAACACATTATCTTGCAGAGTTTGGTTGAGGATTAAATGAGATATCATTTGGGAAGCACTTAGCTTATGTCTGGCCTAAGTGGGCTCTCAGTGATTATTAACAAAGCAACAGCAGTTCCTGTGAATGTTATTTTTGCGTAGTGAGGAGCATCAGTGTATCTGGTCTGGCTATGCCAGAGCTTAGAGCTGTCTGAGGGTGGTTTCAAAGTAATCATAGTACACACACAAATACAGGATACATTTTTTCTTCCAAATAAGTGTGTGGAAAATGAGTCAAGAGTAATGAAGGCTGAAGAATAGCATTTTTCTAGGCACCTCTTAAAGTTGTATGATTTTACTTAAACTTTTTTAAGCCTCGTGTGTATGAAAGTCAAGACATTATTATGTTTGTATTTCCCTAGGACTTTCCTGAAAGAGTTGGAAAAATGCACTGAAAACCCTGACCTTCTGGCACATTGCTTTATCAATAGAGTAAGTCTGTCCTCCTACTAGATCCAAACAGCCGCGTGATTCAAGTTGACCCTCACTTTTCTGCATAGGGGGTAAGGGCAAGTGAAAACACAAAGGACCCCAGGGGTGGGGAACCTTTCTTCTGCCAAGGGTCATGTGGGTATTTATAACATCACTTGTGAGCCGCACAAAATTATCAACTTAAAAGTTAGCCTGCTATAGATTTATTGAATTTTGAGTCTCACCTAGGGTTGCCTTAGCAGGGCCACACCAAGTGATTTTGTGGGTCTTACATAGCCTGTGGGACAGACATTCCCCACTCCTGTATATTTCCCTGACCTCCAGTCTTTATTTAAGGATAAGTGACATATAAAACTGCATACACTCAAGGTGTACAACATGATGATTTGATATCTGTGTAATTAAAGTGATTACCACAATCAGCCTAATGAATACATCAGTCACCTCTCATATTGTGTGTGTGTGTGTGTTATCTGAAAAGTTGAACTCAGAGAATCAGAATATAAAGATGGTAGCCAGGGGCTAGAGGACAGGGGCAAGGGGAGATGTCGGCAAAGAGTATAATCTTCCAGTTAGAAGATGAGTACGTTCTGGAGACATGCACGCACAGCATGCTGACTGTGGTTAACAATACTGCGTTGTCGACGAGAAATTTACTAAGAGAGTAGATTTGACTCTGTCTTTTGAGTTCGAGCCAGGAGTCTTACAGTGCTGTTGGCCTCCCAACTCGACCTCACTCCCTCACTCCCACTCCGTTGAGTTTGAGAATGAGTAGAGTTCTACTGCCCACACTGAGCACCTGGGAGCCTCACTTCCTGTAAAGCCCTATGAAAATGGAAGCCTGGCCCTTAGGGCCCCCAAAGCAGAGAGTCCTCATGTGAACAACTGAGCTATGTTTCTGACAAGAACCACACAGCAGGCTTCAAGTCCCACCCAGAAGTTGTGTTACAGCTCTCAAGGGGAGCAAGCCCAAAAAGCTCAGAAAACATATTCTCTTTGGTTTTTACAGCAGAGAGGGTGATTGGAGATGTTTACATCTGCAGCCCCTTTTATGCTTAGCACCCAGTATGTGAAGGCCGTGCCCTACTCCAACCTTTTCCCTTTCCCCACTGCTCTGTCTTCTTCCCTCTTGCAATTTCTCTACTCCTGCTTTGGGCAATGAACGGGCTGGGCTGTTTGGGCCAGGAGGGACTGGGTCTTACCCAACACCTTAGGATGACCATGCCCATGATCCTGGTGCCCCCTACTTCCTCAAGCTTTCCCATTTATTCTCCTTTGCAACTGGTCCTAACTCCCCAATTCTTTTTGCGGTTTTCTTTTTGTGACTCCAGGAAAACAGATGAATCAACTTAAAAGTGTGTAAACACTCTAATTTTGGCAGACAAGTCTAAGAGGAATATTTAATTTAAAATGAAAGCAAGCAAACCCAAACCCCCAGTTTCAAGATATTTGATATAACAGAGATACAGTCTTAATACCTCAGTGCCCTGCCATGGCCCTGTGTGGGTTTTCAATTCTTCACAGCCTTATCATAGGCTTTCTTTTTTTATTTTATTTTTTTAAATATTATTTATTTATTTATTTATTTGAGAGGAAGAGTTACAGACAGTGAGAGGGAGAGACAGAGAGAAAGGTCTTCCTTCCTTTGGTTCACCCCCCAAATGGCCGCTCTGAAGCCAGGAGCCAGGTGGTTCTTCTTGGTCTCCCATGTGGGTGCAGGGCCCTAGCACTTGGGCCATCTTCCACTGCTTTCCTGGGCCACAGCAGAGAGCTGGACTGGAAGAAGGACTAGAACCTGGTGCCCAAATGGGATTCCGGTGCCGCAGGTGGAGGATTAGCTAAGTGAGCCACAGCGCCGGCCCCTATCACAGGCTTTCTCAAGTGCCAAAACTTAAGATAAACTACAAATGGTTTTGTACTCTATTTGGTACACTTCTAGGGCCTGCACAGCAGATTAAGTCACTGCCTGCGATGCCAGCATCCCATAGGAGCACTGATTGGGGCTCCAGCTGCTCTACTTTCCATCCATCTTTCTGCTAATGTGCCTGGAAAAGCAGTGGAAGATGGCCCAAGTGCTTGGGCCATGCTATCCACATGGAGATACGGATAAAGCTGTTGGTTCCTGGCCTCAGCCTGGCCCAGCCCCAGCTGTTGCAGCCATTTGGGGAGTGAACTGGCAGTTAAAGATCTATTTCTTCCCCTCTCTCTGTAACTCTGCCTTTCCAATAAATAAATACATCTTTAAAAAAATTTTGGTTCACTTCTTTATTGAATTCACATTGTTTTGTACTATTTTGTACTTTTGTATTCTCATTAAGCTGCTGATGAGAAATCTAGTTTCAGGGGCCGGTGCTGTGGCATAGCAGGTAAAGTGCCGCCGGTGGTGCCAGCATCCCATGTGGACCCTGATTCAAGTTTCAGCTGTTCCACTTCTGATCCAGCTCCCTGCTAATGTGCCTGGGAAATCAGTGGAGGATGGCCCAAGTCTTTGGGTCCCTGCACCCACATGGGAGACTTGAAAGAAGCTCCTGGCTGGCTTCGGCCTGGCCCAGCTCTGACCTTTGTAGCCATTTGGAGAGTGAACCAGTGGATGGAAGAGTTCTCTCTGTCTTTCTGTCTGTCTGTCTGTCTCTCTCTGTAACTCTGCCTTTCAAATAAATAAATAAATCCTTTCATTTATTTGAAAGGCAGAGTTACAGAGAAGCAGAGACAGATAGAGAAAGGTTTTTCCATCAATTGGTTCGCTCCCTATATGGCTGCAACGGCTGGAGCTAGGCCAATATAAAGCCAGGTGCTTCTTCTGGGTCTCCCACATGGGTGCAGGGGCCCGAGCATTTGGGCCATCTTCTACTGCTTTCCCAGGCCATAGCAGAGAGCTGGATCAGAAAGGGAGCAGCCAGGACTTGAACAGGTGTCCATAGGGGATGCCAGCACTGCATGCGGCAGCTTTGCCCTTCAAGCCACTGCACTGGTCCCAGTAAATAAATCTTTAAAAAAATGAAATCTAGTTTCAGATTTTATAAATATTTTATGATTTCTTATGCCATTTATTCAAAGGTTATTTGAATTGTTAAATGAGAAAAGGCCTAAAGTCTTCTGGGAAAATATGAATATTATCACAAAAAATTATTTAACTGCAAGGAAAGAGTGAGGGAATTGCTCACTAAATTTTTTTTCTTTTTCTTTTTCTTTTTTTAAAATTTATTTATTTGTTTCAAATGCAAAGTTACAGAGAGGCAGAGGCAGAGAGAGAGAAAGGTCTTCCATCTGCTGCTTCACTCCCCAAATGGCTGCAATGGCTGGAGCTGTGCCAATCCGAAGCCAGGAGCCAGGAGCTTCTTACGTGTCTCACATGTGGGTGCAGAGGCCCAAGCACTTGGGCCATCCTCTACTGCTTTCCCAGACCGTAGCAGAGTGGTGGATGGGAAGTGAGCAGCCAGGACTCGAACAGGTGCCCATATGGGATGCTGGCACTGCAGGTGGCGACTGTACCCAACATTTTTTCTTGAAAAAGTTCTTCTCCTGCCAGCGCCGCGGCTCACTAGGCTAATCCTCCGCCTAGCGGCGCCGGCACACCGGGTTCTAGTCCCGGTCGGGGCACCGGATTCTGTCCTGGTTGCCCCTCTTCCAGGCCAGCCCTCTGCTGTGGCCAGGGAGTGCAGTGGAGGATGGCCCAGGTGCTTGGGCCCTGCACCCCATGGGAGACCAGGAAAAGCACCTGGCTCCTGGCTCCTGCCATCGGATCGGCGCAGTGCGCCGGCCGCAGCGCGCCAGCAGCGGCAGCCATTGGAGGGTGAACCAACGGCAAAGGAAGACCTTTCTCTCTCTCTCTCTCTCTCTTTCACTGTCCACTCTGCCTGTCAAAAAAAAAAAAAAAGTTCTTCTCCTAAAGTTTTATGGAAATTTTTAGTTTCCCCTATGTTGGGAGGAACCTTGGAAATCATTAATTTAGACTGAAAACTTTCTATCTATTCCTGCATGGTTTACAATGTGAGAGGTAAAACATAGGCAATAAATTTTTAACAAGTACATAGTTATTCTTAGAACAAATGGAGTAATTAAAAGCACAATTATCTAATCTCAGAGGATTCTTGGAGGGAGTTGGCCATTTTGAGAGGCTCTTCACCCTTTCTACAGCAGTTTACATTTTCTCAATCATGTTGGCAGAATCCCACTGACCTTGAAATGACTTCTGGGATATTCTTGTGGCCAAATATTTTCATCAGACCCCAAAGCCTGTATCACCCAGGAGGAGTCTTCCCCAGAGGTGGTGCTCTAGTTGGCATAAACTAACATACTTTTCGGGTTCCATGCCCTGAAATCTCACATGGCCAAATGGAAAGTGCCCTAGGCTGGCACTTGGAATACAGAAACTCTCATCCAAGGTGAGCCACTTGCTACCTGTATGACTTCATGGAAAGCACTTAAATCCTTGGAATCTCTTTCCCTCTCTCTTTTTTAAAGATTCATTTTTTATGTATTTGAATGGCAAAGTTAGAGAAAAAGAGAGAGAGAGAGAGAGAGAGATCCTCTATCCACTGATTCACCTGGTTCACTCCCCTAAATGGCCGCAATAGCCAGGGCTGGGTCAGGCCAAAGCCAGGAGCCAGGAACTTCTTTTGGGTCTCCCACATGGGTGCAGGGGCCAAAAGAGTTGGGCCATCTTCCACTGCATTAGCATATTAGCAGGGAGCTGGATTGGAAGTGGAGCAATCAAGACTCGAATTGGCGTCCACATGAGTTGTTGTCGTTGCAGGCGGTGACTTAACCCATTACGCCACGATGCCAGCCCCGGAAATCTCACTTTCTTCCTCCATGCAACAGGCCTAAGAGTATCAATATGTAAAGTTGTTATGGGAAACAAACTTATAGGAAGTTCCTTTAAAGTAAGAAGTACTTTGACAATAGCTACTGTTTTTGAGTACTCTGTTTATATGGGCATTTGTTTCTGTATATTATCTTATTTAATCTCCCAATGCTTATAGGAGTTGATTGCTGTTATAAGCCCACTTGTGTATCGACTGAAGCTAGGAAGGTTAAGTACGTAATCTCAGGCCATGTAGTTTGTAATTGACAAAGCCAAGAGCTGAACCTGGACCATCCTCTCCCAGAGCCCACAGTCTTAATCCATCAGCACTCATGTCTCCTTTAGTGAATGAGTTTTTCCCATCAATTTTAGAGCCTTCTGATCTATTCTTTAAGGGAGTGAGGGGGAACCAAGCATTTTCCTATATTGCTGATTAGTGTATATCCTTTCTCTAAAACAAGAGTGGTATTTTGATACTCGAAAGCCTATGATGTTCTGTGTTGCTGAAGGGTAGAGTCAGAGTCAGAACCAAGGGGTGAGGGTTTCCGGAAGGCTGGTTGCAGCCTACCTAGCATCTGCCAGTAGAACCAGATCCCTCAGTTACTAGGAGAGCTTGGCCAAAGGTGGTTGACGGTCGAGGATGTTACATTGGATGGGAGGTTGGGTCTCCCAAGTCTCTTCCCGCTGCTAAGCATCTTCTGGTGGGTGAGTGTTGAAAGTGGTGGAACTGTAAGCTCTTTAGGAGCTTTTGGGCAATGTCTGTGCTCTGCCAGACCAAATGTGGATAAGATGCCTTAATCAATTCATGGTGTCATATAGACTTTGCCTTTAGTTTGGCAGGAATGGCCCTTACACCCAGGCTACTATGCTAAATTAACCATTGAGGTTAGCAAATGAACTGTGCACAATGCCTGGCACATCAAAGACTCTCATTAGATAGCTCTGAAACCAAGCGTTGGTCTGGGGCTGGCACTGTGGATAAAGCTGCTGCCTGCAGTGCCGGCATCGTATATGGGCGCGGGTTCGAGTCCTGGCTGCTCCACTTCTGATCCAGCTGTCTGCTATGGCCTGGGGAAGTAGTAGAAGATGGCCCAGGTGCTTGGGCCCCTGCACCCTCATGGGAGACTGGAAGGAAGCACCTGGCTCCTGGCTTTGCATCGGTCCAGCTCCGGCCTTTGCGGCCATTTAGGGAGTGAACCAGTGAACGGAAGACCTCTCTCTCTCTCTGCCTCTCCTTCTCTCTGTGTAACTCTGACTTTCAAATAAATAAATAAATCTTTAAAAAATGAACATTTGTGGACAAACAAAGTACTCGTGACATGGATTTGACATGTAGTGATGCTGTAGCTTAAAAAAAGAGTTGGTCTGAGCAGGAAGAAAGGGACACAAGTCTGCAAGGAGGTGGCACATGGGATTCTCTGTGACAGCAGCGTGGGTTCTGTGGCCAGTGCAGCTGCTGTGGACCAAGCTCCCTGATGGAAACCTGGAAGCTGGCAAGCTGACTCCGCAGGATTGGGGTGTCCCTTTCATCTGTGTGCCCACCTCTTAGGGTCTTTGGTATAATGAGGATATTGGCTGCTCAGCACAGTCTCCAGCTCTGAAATTCAGCAGTGACATAACTGTTCCTGTTTCAGAACCTGTGCTGCAGGTTGAACGTGACATGGGAGGGAGAGCTGGCCACTTCACCTGTTGCCCATATGACTTAGATCTCCGTTTGTTGTCACATGGCCACATTTTACTTCTGGGGTGTTCCCATAGGTTGTTTCTTGGGTTTCTTGTAAGGTTGGCATCATGATGGTTGTAATAAAAAGAGGGTGGGAGAGAAAAGAGAGGAGCCATCAGCCACTGGCATTTTTTTCCTGTCCATTTTATTTTTCAATGAAGAACTCTAGGGAGAAATGTTGGTGTTTTGAACAAAGAACAGGGGAGGAAGGGTAAAAATAAAAACCTAAGGGCTAGCATTGTGGCACAGCAGATTCAGCTGTTGCTTGCAACACCAGCATCCCATACAATCGCTAGTTCAAGTCCTGGATTTTCCACTTCTGATCCAGATCCCTGCTAATGCACCTGAGAAAGCAGTGGAAGATGGTCCATGTACTTGGACACTTGGACTCCTGCCACCCTTGTGGGAGACTCGGATGGGGTTTCTGGCTCCTGGTCCAGCATCAGCCATTGCAGCCATTTAGGGAGTGAACCAATAGATGGAAGATCTCTCTCCTTCTCCCTCTGTAACTCTGCCTTTCACATAAATCAATAAATCTTAAAAAACCATTCCTGTTCTTGAAAGTACTTTTTTATTTGCCAGCAGCCCTTATAGATGCCCCCACAATAGCCTGTTCAGTATGCTGGGTTGTTGATAGCCCATCATACACTCCACCGACATAAGTTTGTTTAGCGTGCATGCATAGTTCCTTACATATTGAAATAATCTGGCTTGTTCAATGAGTGACTCAGTTGTGTTATCTTTTCCACTTACTTAAAAATGCTTCCTGATTAATTAATAGAATTAATTAATTCTATTTTTTTCCCACTCAGAAAGAAGATCTTCAAATATATTTTAAATACCATAAGAATCTGCCCCGAGCTAGAGCAATATGGCAAGAATGTCAAGACTGTGCCTACTTTGGGGTAATGTTTGCCTTATAAAGCCTCCCATAAATAATTTTCTCCGGAAAATACTTACTGACATCAAAGTTTTAGAGAAATCAAAAGTATGAGCTAGGCAGAGGAATACGGCCTCATGGTTTGAATAAAAATCTCCCATCCTTGGGAAGTTACACATTGGAAGCTTCCATAGGTCAGGCCTGTGAGAAGCACCCAGGGGAGGAAACCAGCCATGCCTTCTAGGATGGACTGAAAAAATGGAACAAAGTCTCAAAGGTCAATTAGGGTCTCCCTGGAACGATGCCTACAAGCCTTCTGGACCCTCCAGACTCAAAGCCACCTGAGTAGATGCAGCCGCCCAACTTGAGGGCAGGCTGCCCCCTGTCCAGGGGGACCGGAAATACCACACTGTTGTCCTGCAGACCCCCTCTGGAGCAGGAGAAGATGGTCCCGCTTCCCTCACTGCCAGGCCATGCCCCTTCCTTCCACACACTGCTTCCCAGGGACTGAGCTGTTCCCCAGGGACTGAGCAGCCCGTCACTTTGTGGAACCAGCAGCACAGGCGCCCATCTAGCGCGTGACCAGCCCAGTTGTTTCTTGTGTCTGAATACTTCCGTTTTCGCTGTGCGCGTGTTGTTTATTTCGTGCCGTGTTGTTTCTGTTTGACTTTTAAAGGTATGCCAGCGCCAGCTGGGTCACAATCTGCCTCTTTTTAAGTATCTTCGAGGACCAAGCCAAAGACTGATGAAATACCAGATGCTGCTGAAGGTGAGGTCGATGAGACGGTGCTTTTCTGTGTGGGGAAATCAGACGCCTCTGCCATGGTGATGTCTTCCTCAGACGTGTAGACTTGTGACTCCGTCTTCTGAGGCTGAAGATAGGTCCGTCCTCTGGGCTTTTTCTTTTCTCCATGTCTAGTCAACCCTCAGTGAGGAATAAGATCAAAGAATTGTCGAGTTGGAAGGGACCCTGGAGCCTAAGGCCAACATCTGGCCTGGGCCTGAATCTCCGAGGAGTCTGACTCTCTCCAAGGAGAGGCCCTGGGAGCAGTGGCGGGAAGGAGTGCAGCCACCCTGCTTACAGCTGAGAGGGCGCGGGAGGCAGCCAGAGCCTCTGCTCTCAGGCCCATAGATACCTGCTCCATTGAGATGAAGCATGGTACTTTGGAGAAGATGTGATTTTCCCCCAAATTGGTATTTTTTGTGCATTATAACAACGGAAGGGAGGCTCCTTTTGCAGCATAAACCTCCACTCTTAGATTTAGTATCTTACCCTGACAGCAGTATACCCGAATACGTTTTACTGTGTCTGAACCCCTCTGTGGTTTTTTTTTCCTCTCTCTCTCTGTCTGTTTCTTTCTCTCTCTTGATCTGTCTTTATCTCTCTCTCTGATCTTTGTACCTCCTGCCTGGGGAGGCATTGACACCAGCACACCTGCAGGTGAGCACTGGCAGGCACCCAGACAGGACATGGGGGTCCATCAAGTCTGGTTTCCCACGTGTGGGCTTGAGGAAACAGTTTGGGCTGCCCCTGTGAGTTGTTTTTAGAATTGACCTATATAAGGTGGATATATATGTCCTGTGGGTGCTGTCTCTAAATAAAAGAAAAAATGGGCACCTTTCAGAGCCTGGGTGTTTTCCCAGGTGTATTTCTTACCTAATCCCCCCAGACAACATGCCAGCAAGGCTCTGGTGTGGAGACACCAAGGCTCAGGGAGGTTGAGCTCCTCGGCCAGCGGTCTGCCCCAGAGGAAGTTACCCCCTTAGCTTTCCATCAGCAGTCCCAATCTCACAGTTCCTGCTCAGTTATGTGACTTTGGCCTCTTGGGCTCTAGTTTTCTCACGTGTAAAAAGGAGAGTGTAGCACCTCCCCAGTGCACCCATTGCCAAGAGCAGGCGAGTAATACATGTGGAGGCATGGCACAGCACTGGTCAGGACACTTTGCATGATGGGTAGCTGTCAGTTTTGACACTGAGGCCATTCCACCACTATGGGAATGAGGGTGGTGACCCACTGCGTCCCTCCCCGAGCAGTGTGTTTTAGGGCCTCATATTCCTCTGCCTTACCTATCTTGACTGGTCATCCACCATTCAGAAATCATTCCCTTGTGTTGGGCTTGAATTTTCCCACCAAGATGACGTTTACCCAGTAGCTAAGGTCTGCACCATGCACTGAAGGCTGTGTGCATGGGAGTCAGCCTGAGTCTGGATCCAGATTGACACTTCCAGGCTGCATGAACTTGGGCATTGTGCTTAGCCTGTCTCTACCTCAGGTTCCTCCCCTACAGAATTAATGTGATAGTTGGCCTTTACTGGTGTGCCGGTTGGGAGCAGTCAATGAGATAATACAGGTGGAAAGTCCTTAGAAAATGTTGTTAGCTGCCATTCACTGAAGGACGGAGGTAGAATCAGTATGAAGTATGCCTTGAGGGTCTGTGAAGAGTAGTCTGTGAAAGGGCCGTGCGAGGCAGACCAGTTTTTCTCCAAGCTGGGTGCCTGGTAAAGCAAGTCCAAACCATTGATGTGCATTGAAGAAAGGAAGGATTGGGTAGTGTTCCCTCCCTGGAGGCATGGGGATCATTCTTTGCTTTCTCCCCCGCACATCACTTGCTTGGAAGAGCTTGGATATTGGGTCCATTGCCTCGTGGTTGAGAAAGGACCATGGGGTCCTTGTGTGGGAAATGCTTTCTAAATACAAAAGAGAGGAAAAGGAATGATAGATTGCACCATCAGAAACAAGGACACATGGGTAATTGGGGAAAATGTTAGCAAAATATGTGACAAGTGGTCAGTATATTTAATTAATGAGCTCTCAGAAGTTAATAATAAAAAGGGAAACCAAGGACAAGAGCAGTTTATGAAAGAATAAATACTAAGAGCAGTTGTTTTCAAGTTTTACCTCATTAGTTATCTGAGGAATTCAAATGGAAACAACAGCCATGTGGTAGGATTTTTCTATTGATTCAGCTGGCAAAGCTTTATCATGAAATTGTAACATCCCATATAGGCCAGGGGCTGATGAGACAGGCTTTCATATATATAGCTGACAGGAACCCAGACCTTCCATAAAGAATTTGGAAATATGCCACAAAACTCTTAACACTTATCATTCCACTTCTAGGAATTTATCCTTAGGAAAAATGCACAAAATTTTTGTTATAATGAACATTTGTTGAACCTAAATGTTTAACAGTGGGGAGATCATAATTCATAACCAGAGTTCAGCTGTGATTTCTCTGTAAGATTAAACATTCTACACCACAAATCAAAACCCAAATGTTAGGGCTGGGTGTTATGGTACAGTGGGTTAAAGCTGCTGCTTGGGATATCTGCAACCCATATTGGAGTGCCTGGGATCAAGCCCTGCCTCCACTTACTATCCAGCTTCCTGCTAATGTGCCTGGGAGACAGCTGTGATGGACTAAGCATTTGGGTTCCTGCCACCCACGTGGGAGACCTAGATGGATTTCCTGGTTCCTGGCTTTGGAGTGGCTCAGTCCTGGCTATTTTGGGCATTTGGGGAGTGAACCAGTGGTTGGAAGATCTCTCTCTCTGTCTCTCCCTCTCTCTTGTCAATCTGCCTTTCAAACAAATAAATAAAACTTTGAGCCGGCGCCGCGGCTCACTAGGCTAATCCTCCGCCTAGCGGTGCCGGCACACCGGGTTCTAGTCCCGGTTGGGGCGCCAGATTCTGTCCCGGTTGCCCCTCTTCCAGGCCAGCCCTCTGCTGTGGCCAGGGAGTGCAGTGGAGGATGGCCCAGGTGCTTGGGCCCTGCACCCCATGGGAGACCAGGAAAAGCACCTGGCTCCTGGCTCCTGCCATCGGATCAGCGCGGTGCGCCGGCTGCAGCGCGCCAGCCGCGGCGGCCATTGGAGGGTGAACCAACGGCAAAGGAAGACCTTTCTCTCTGTCTCTCTCTCTCACTGTCCACTCTGCCTGTCAAAAAATAAATAAATAAAAAAATAAAATAAATAAATAAAACTTTGAAAAACCAATAGCAACCATGTTTTAGAAAAATATATTGTAGGAAATTATTCCTCATATATTTTTGCATTAAGAAATCAGGCTACAAAATAGCATCTGGCATATGATGCTGTGTTTGTGGTAGAAATTCTGTGCTGGATCTATTGTTCATCCTTTGGCTTTAAGTTTACACACATTCTCAGGCAGTCTAGCATCAGCCTTAGGTTGTTGTGCATCAGATTTTGCTGACAATCCACTTTTTTGATTTCCAACAAGAGTTTTGGTTTAACACAGGGTCTGCTGGATCTTGCGTCTCCTGAAGATTTGGAGATAGACCCAGGTGACCTAGAAGGAGGTGTGGAGAAGGTACTGGGGTGTTATTTTCTTGTTACGATCTTTATTGTCTAAAGTTTCTAAAATGGTATGTATCCTATAGTTTTTTGTCAAGAAAATAAAAAAAATTGGAGGCAATTTTGAAGTGGGAATTTGTAACCCAGTGAGAAGTGGTAATATTTTTTTGCTTCCACATAAAAATTTTTAATGGGTCAAAATTAAGTGAATGTGCAAAATGAATATATAAAAGACTAGAAATAAATATTATAAAATCTCCATTGTAGTTTTTCTGCATGGTAGAATTACATAGGATTTATATTTTCTTCATTGTTATTGGGTATATGTAATTTGTATGCATTGTGCTTTGTCCACCCCCCCCCCTTTGCTCTCTCTGTGTGTGTGTGTGTGTGTGTGTGTACATTCTAAGAGAGACTGCTAAGTTTCCCTTGCTGGAAATGGCGGCCACAACAGGTTAGGAAGAAATTTGTGGCTTAGCACTGGGGTTTTTTTTTTTCTTCCAACTTCCTGTAGAATATTCTGGTTTTAACAAGAAAACTTTGAGACGTGTGTCTCGAGGAGCCCTGTCATCTTAGAATGTGTGATGAGGATGCCTTAAAAACAGAAGATGTGAGAGGCCTAGGTAATCATTTGATGACCTGGTTAGAGGAGCTGAATCGTGTGTGTAAGGGTTTTTCCGAACCCAGTGGAAAGCTAGCTTACCTGCTGTGCTTATGAGAGGAGGGTTAGTGGGAAGGACCTGGGATAGGAGCAGGTAAGTATCTAAAAGAAATTTGTGTTGTAAGTGTTGGGCAAGGAGGAAGATACCTGGTGTAAGAAGTTTTCGTTGATGTTAAAATAAACACAGGGGATCCTGTTGTCTTTCCTGGGAACTGAAGCTTGTGGGTTACCAGTGAGGGCATAAGAACCCATGCCCCTTGTTCAGCGGAGCCCTCGTGATCTGCTGCAGTCATCAGCTGGTCACTCCTGTCTGTGATCCGAAGCTGCTAATCCCCACGGTTTCAGCGAACATGAAACACACACACCCCTTTGACCACACCTTGCTGCTGGGGACAAGAGTGTGGGGCCGGTTGTGAAGCAGCAGAGAGCTATCTGTTCTTTGCAGCAGAAATGGAGGTGTTATGTAACCACACGGAAGAAGTCAGGATCTTCATGTTGATGTTGCCATGTAACAGAAAGGCACCGCACAGGCAGCAGGGGAACGAAACAGCAACCCCCAGGCAGAGGACTCGGAAGTTGAAGTCATCCTCCTGTCACTTCCTAAGTGCCACTGTGGTAATGAGTGGAGTGTGGTCTTTTTAATGAGTGATGACCACTTTCCCACTTGATGCTGGCTTCATGTTTGCAGGCATACACACATAGTGGGCGATGTCTTTGGCACCACCGATGGTGGTGGAACGTGGGGAGGGTTGGGGGAGGAGTGGAGGGGCGAAGGGCAGAGCTGAGGGGGAGCTCTTTGGCGTTTACATGTAAGTCATCAGTCAGCCTCCACATGGCAGCTCCCCCCCGCCCCGACTTTTTCTTCTCTTGAGAATTTTAGAAGAATTTTCCTCTAGGATGTCTTAAGGTCTAATTTTACCCATAGGAATAGGATGTTCACATTCAATAGAGGAATGAGATACTCAGATTGTACTTCTCAGAAAGCCCCAGAGGGTAGGGGTGATTTAAAGGGCTTAGATTCTTTTCATGCTTCACAAATGATGAGTTCTTACATAGCAGGAATATACAGTCTATAATATTTTCAACTTCACTCTTTATTAATACAACCTACAGAAGGTTTAGGGATATTTTTGCTTATCTATATGGGATGCCAGATACTTGAGGCAGCAAATATCTTAAGCCATGATTCTTTGGGATCAGGGAGACCAAGCAACAAACCCATCTTCTGGGGTCAGTGCCCAGTGGGTCCGCAGCTGCTTCTCTTTGCCCCGTTTCCTTCTTCACCTGGTACATGGCATACTTCTGATTTCCAACAAGGCATTTGTTTTCCGCAGGATGGGCCCCAAAGGACGAAGGATTCTGCGCTCTCAGCTGAACTGCAGCAAGCTTTGGCAGTGGTCGAGGATTTGATCAAGTCCTGTGAGCTGGCTGAGGGCCTGGCAGCAGTCACTGGATGTCCGGTATGTTCCGTAGCAGGCATTGGAACGTGGCTCACAATATCACAAGCGGGGAGGTACTGTGGCCAAGTTAGAGAAATAGTCTTCTGATGGTAAAGAAATCCCACCTCAATCAAACCCATGCAATTCAGCAAACCCATGCAACGGGACCCCAAGCTGTCTGGCTGCATCTTCAGGAGGTTTGGGCTACATTCCTTAGCACCCTGAGCTCTGTGTGCACCGGGCAAGCTAGAAACCCAGGGACAGAACACGTGAGTAGAGGGGCAGGGGTAAAGTCCTGAAGGAAGAATTGTTTCTAACTCGTGACACTATCAGATATTTAACAATTTGGAAAGTTTCCCTGCTGGCTCCAGAGATTCTCCATGGGAAGTATTTTGAAGTGGTCCTAAATGAACGTCCAGTTCCATTTGCATCCCAGATCTCAGAACAGACCCATCAGTTACATATCCTACATCCCTACAGCCAAGTGGCCGAAAGAAGAGAGTGGCTGCTGGGGAGGTGACCTGGCCCGGCTTGGCATTAATCTTCATTCCAAGTATCCCAGGCCCAGGCACTCCAGGCAAAGTATGCCCTGTAACTGTAAGATCTCTTTGGGACTGGGGCGTCTTAGTCTTCAACTGGGTTTCACTCTAGCAGGTGCTCTAGATTGTGACTCAAATGTATCTATTTTCTGTCATTCTCCTAACACATTACCATGATGTTTGTAGCTTAGAATGGCACAAATTTGTTAGCTTCCAGTTCTGGGATCAGCAGTTCAACACAGTCTCATGGGCTATAATCAAGGTGTCCACCTTCCTTTTGGGGTTTCTAGGCGTGACTCTGTTTCTTTGAGTTTCTCAGCTTAAAAAGGCCAACCCATATTCTTTGGTTTGTGGCCTCTTCCTTCAGCTTCAAAGCCATCCAGGGCAGGTGGAGTCCTCTCATGTCACCTCCCTCTGACCTCCCCTTCTGCTTCTCCGCACTTGTTAGGACCCATGCCATTCCACTGGCCTGCACAGATCCTCCAAGGTGTTCCCCCAGTCTGAAGACAGGTGGTTAGCCATCTGCATTCCCATTTGTAGAGTCTCAGATTCTGTGGGTCAGGATATGTGCCTACGTGTTCTCTAATAAGGGACTTGTCTGAATGGCCACATGAGGGTTTAAATGTCTCTTACTTTTAGAACTTTAGGAGGCCATTATTCTGCCCACCATACAGAATCCAAGCATTATGAGAATTCTATTTGTTAGATACTTACTTCTCTTTTTTTTTCCTTTTCATTTTTACCTGGTGCTTTTAATTTTTTTTTCTTTTCTTGGAAAGGCAGAGTGACACAAAACTAGAGCTAGAATTAGAGAGATTTTCTGTCTGCCGGTTCATAGCCGAATACCCACAACAGCTGAGGTTGGAACAAGCTGAAGTCGGGAGTCAGGAACTCCATCTGAGTCTCCCATATGAAGGAACCCATGCAGTTGGTCCATCATCTGTTGCCTCCCAGGTGCATCAGTGGCAAGCCGCATTGGAAGTGGAGGAGCTGGGACTCAAATCAGGCACTCGTGATGGGGCACACAGACATCCCAAGTGGTGGCTTAATCTGCTGAGCCACGATGCCCACTCCTACCTGGTCCTTAACCTACTGTTGATTAAGATCTTGGCAGATTAAATGAACTTCTTTTTTTCTTTCCTTATCAGAAATAAAAATCATACAAATGAACTAGGAACAAATGTGAATTTTTACTTCCCTCTCTCCGGATATTTTCCTGGCTGTCATCTTAGGAACTTAGCCCCACTGGCTTTGCTGGGATTCCAGGCAGCAATGTCATTAATGTCCTGTGGGAGCCCAAGGTGCTGTCTGCTTACAACTCTGTATGACGTGAGAGGATATTCGTGGACTGTGCAGGGTGGGGTCAGGGTGTGTGTAACACTGGATCGTTTTCTTGGTAATAATTTTTCCTTTGGCTAGGAAAAGTGAAGGGCGATCATTTTTAAGATCATTTTGGGAAACCTTTCTGTTCTTTGTACCATGAATCATGTGTCAACAACTGCGATTAGATGTCTACTTCCTTGAATCAAATGTTGGAAACAACACAATTTGCGAGCAGAAACTCCCAGCTGCTATTTTGAGTATAAACAACTTAGGAGGGGGAATTTGGGAAGAAAGAATGACTAAAATATGAGGAAATAGCAATCTACTCTAATTTCACTCCAAGCGAGCTTATATGCAAATAAGATGCACTGGCTTACAGAATTGTAGAGATTTTACACCAGATACAAAGGAATCTTTTTATCCCACATGTCCTCAGAATGGTGTCTTTGCCATATGCTCTGTGTTGTTTTTTTTTTTCTGTTAAGACACTAACTGACTTTTTATTTTAAAGATTTATTTATTTTTAAAATTTATTTGGAAGGCAGAGTTACAGAGAGGCAGAGGCTGAGAGAGAGAGAGAGAGGGAGAGAGAGAGAGAGAGGTCTTCCACCAGCTGTTTCACTCCTCAAATGGCTGCAACGGCTGGAGTTGCGCCCATCCAAAGCCAGGAGCTTCTTCCGGGTCTCCCACAGGGCGCAGGGACCCAAGCACTTGAGCCATCTTCTACTGCTTTCCCAGGCCACAGCAGAGAGCTGGATCGGAAGTAGAGCAACCAAGACTCGAACTGGTGCCCATATGGGATGCTGGCACTTTAGGAGGCTACTTTACTGGCTATGCCACAGTGCCGGCCCCTTAACTGACTTTTACATTTGTGACATTAGCTAATTTATCCTGACAGTTTTGTGTAACCCTATTGTGTTCTAGAGGAGCAAGCACTGGAATTTTCAACTCTGATTCAAGAGCAGACCCATGGAAAGAGTGGTTAACTCACCCCAGGTCACGTGAGCATCAGCTTGACCGATTCTTCCTCCCTGCCCCTGCAGAGCGCCCACCTACACTATCTCACTTCTGATCGGAGTTGACTAACACCTCGTACTAACTCAGATCTGATTGCAAGATTCTTTGCTTCAGCTTTGTAGAGCTGTACTGCCAGTGTTTACACTGATGCATTCACGGATATGAATGCTATATTCATGGATAAATCTAGAGTTTACCCTCTTACTTTCTCCATTTGAAATCCAATATTAACCTGGTTTTGTAAAGGAAAGAAATTGATTGTTTTAATTTATATTAAAACAAGTAGAGAAAACCCCCTTCTGATTCTTACACTTTCTGCCTGCTTTGCTCCTTCAGGTGGTCCTTGGTTTAATTTAGCTGCAGAAGCTTGAAAGGTTTTTTTTTTTAAACAGTTTCATTTTGTGGAACATTGAGATATAATTTATGTACTTCCCTCCATTTGCCAAAAAAATATTTTTTTTCTTGATTCAAATCCAGTACATAGTGACTTTAGATCCTGAGTTGCCAGGAACAAGTTCCAAAGTCGAATAGTAAAGGTTAAATGAAACATTTTTCTTTTCTGGAACTAATTTGTATAAGCCAATAAAGGACATAAATTTTATTGTAAGTTCATTATGGACTAGGGCCTGGCAGTTATTTTTATTTCAGTTTCACTTTTCTTACTGTGGTGTTGGCTGTAGAGATATGGCCGAGTCAATGATGTTATGATTCAGTGGGCTGGCCTTGTGCATCTCTGCACCCTCATGATACCTACATAGAAAGTGGTTATCGGTAAAGGAGGATTAAGTCGTAGGCACAGCACTGAGCATTCCGGCAGACAGTGAACGAACAGCCCTGGGGCTGAATTATTTGGGCCACTGCTTAGGCAGGAAAGGGAAGAAGCCCTGGGCTGTCATCACCACTGGCTCCCACTACTTCTGCTTCTCATTTCTGAACCAGGCTTTGTGTGAATTCATTCATTCAGATATCTCCTGCTTCTTGGTGTGAGATGTAAATACCTCCACTGCAGCTCTCTCTGCCAGGAACAAGCACCTGGGCCCCCAGAAGAGGTCTCTGGCTGGGTCTGGTGGCCGTAGGTTCACTCCCATAGACGCATCACTTGGGATTCTCGAATCAGGAGAGTGCATGAACATGGCAGCATTTGCTAGCTGATTTTACTGTCACTTCGTGTGTGGAAGAGGCCGTCTGACTTATCATTCGCCTGTTTTTTGGAAGTAGCCGTTGTGTTCCCACTCCGAGCTCACAGCCATCAGATGTCAGCATGTGACATGGCCACACTTGTTTGTCACTGGTGGAACTGGCTGGAAGCACGTTAGTCTGCAGTGTTGAAGGCCAGATGTTCAACACCCAGCTGAGGGTGGAGGCTGGACCTCAGTCACTGAGATGTCCATCTCGTCACGAGTGTGGTCACGAGAGCACTTGCTGAGGCACGGCAGGCTCGCTGGGAAGGCCTTGCCTGCCTTCTGGCTTCGGGTGTTTGCCTGCAACCTTTAGTGTTGCTTGGCTCACATCTGCCTCTGTCTGCACCTGGCTGAGTTCCCTCAGGTGCATCTCCGTAGCTGCTCTCTTTCAATTACAGCCACCCTGGTCCTCGTCCTAGCCAATTATGTCTGCAAAGACCTTTCCAAGTCAGGTTACATTTTGGGATCCTAGTGGATGTGAGCTTTTTTTGGAGGACACTGTTCAACCCAGTTACAAGGGCAGGACTGAACTAATTCCTGGAATTTAATTCCTTAAATGCAGACTGCGACACACAGCCTGAAAGGGTGTGTGCCTGCCTTCCTCAGCACGGAGCACTGTGCAGGCAGTGCGCCCTCACCTGCGGGAGACCTAAGTCCCCGAGACACCCATCTCATCATGAGCGTGGTCATGAGGATCCTTATGCAAGATGACCCAGAGGACACGCAATCAACTCAAAAAAGCCCAGCAGTGACTCTCATAGCCCCTGGCGATGATGGGCTTCCTGGAAAAGCCAACCTGCAGAGCCTCAGTGGCAGGGCCAGGCTCCCAGAGACGGGAACTGTACAAGGCCAGGGTCTACAGCAGTGCTAGGGCCTTGGCTTGGGGAAGAAGTTGGGGTTTTTACCTGCGTGCCCTGCCTGAGTGTGCCAGGTGAGCCCACATGCCTACTCTCCTCTTACCACCTGCTCACTGGTTCTTTCCCTCCTCCGTCAGTGTCTTTTCCCTTCCTTAGTTTCTGGTGACTCACCGTCTTCAAAACCCTGTACCCTTGTCATTTCTTCTAGCACCTGCCTGCTAAAGTATCTCACGGCTGTAGCTCCTGCTGGCCACGGCCACCTCATCTGTTTTCTTTAGCTCTGAGAGAGCTTACAGTGGCTACTCAGCACATCATTTTTAAACTGGCTCTCTGTGCTCAGTCTTGGGTCTCTCTTCTTCTGCAGTCACACACAGAGGTGACAAAGTACAAAACATAGCAGGGCTGTGGTCAGGGCTGTTTCCTCTCCAACAGACCACAACTTGGCAGATACTGGAACCTGCCTCACCAAGTTATCTCCAGGTCATTAGAGAGTGTACACCTGGACCTGCTCTCTCTGCCTCTTAGCGTTGCTTTTACAGCCGTGCCAAAAGTGACGCCTCTGCATGGGTCAGATGTGTTCCAGTGAGCAGGTCTACCTCAATTACACCTGTATTCATCCGTGTGTTGCATGATGTGGTTGAGGATGTTGCTCGGTGTTTGACTCACTGAGTCTTCCATGGGAGAGGTTGGTTGTGTATCTTTCTAATGGGATTTCTGTGCTTTTCCTGGACAATGTGTTTGTATGCGTCTCTGGATACAGCGAATGATGCTCATCTTTTCGTTCTGTTTTCCATGAATTTTTGAAGTATCCTCATACAGAGTAAAAAAGAAAATTGGCCGGCGCCGCGGCTCACTAGGCTAATCCTCCGCCTTGCGGCGCCGGCACACCGGGTTCTAGTCCTGGTCGGGGCACCGGATTCTGTCCCAGTTGCCCCTCTTCCAGGCCAGCTCTCTGCTGTGGCCAGGGAGTGCAGTGGAGGATGGCCCACGTGCTTGGGCCCTGCACCCCATGGGAGACCAGAAGTACCTGGCTCCTGCCATCGGATCAAGCGCGCCGGCCGCGGCGGCCATTGGAGGGTGAACCAACGGCAAAGGAAGACCTTTCTCTCTGTCTCTCTCTCTCACTGTCCACTCTGCCTGTCAAAAAAAAAAAAAAAGAAAAAAGAAAAAAGAAAAAAGAAAATTAATACAGAAAATTATATACAAACACTCTTAAAATGCCTTGAGTTTTTAAGGTAGAACTTCAGAAGTATTGTCAATTCATTTACACATTCACAGGCTGCTTAACATAGAAACAGTGACTGAGGCTGGTGCCGTGGCACTTTAGGTTAATCCTCTGTCTGTGGCATCCCATGTGGACACAGGTTCGAGTCCCGGCTGCTCCTCTTTCGATCCAGCTCTCTGCTGTGGCCTGGGAAAGCAGTAGAAGATGGCCCGAGTGCTTGGGCCCCTGCACCCACGTGGGATCGGCACAGTTTCGGCCGTTGCAGCCATTGGGGAGTGAACCAACAGAAGGAAGACCTTTCTCTGTGTCTCTTCCTCCCACTGTCTGTAACTCTACCTCTCAAATAAATAAATAAAATCTTTCAAAAAAGAAACAATGACTTGTACAAGTGCCCACTTGGTTATAAATAATGCACATTTTCCTGAATGTTAATTCTAGAGATTTATCTTAGCTCGATAAAACTCTGGAAGGAAGTTCCTTATCCTGGTTCCATTCAAGTGATTTTCTTTTTTTCTAAAAAAAATTATTTATTTTTACTTATTATTTGAGAAGAAGAGAAAGTGCTCCCATCCAGTGGTTCATGGTTCACTCCTAAAATGCCAGCAATGGCTGGGGTTGGGTCGGGCCACTGCCGGGAGCTGGGAGCTCAGTGTGGGTCTCCCACGTGAGTTGTAGGGACATCATGATTTGAGCCATCACCTGCTGCCTCCCAGGTTGTGTGTTAGCAAGAAGCTGGAATCCAAAGCGGAGCTGGGACTCAAATACAGGCTCTGTACTGTGGAACGCAGGCATCCCAAATGGCAGCTCAGCGGCCAGGCCCAACACCCACCCCAGTTTTCTTCTTTTGATGTTTTGATTGTTGTAAATAAATTCCTGATTTTCTGCTTTTAGGTGATCTAAGTTTTTAAAAATACCACGTGAAATACAGATGACTTGTGATAGCTCAGCCTAGGATTTTTCAACTTTATGATGGTGCAAAAGTGGTAGACTTTTAATAGAAACCATACTTTGACTTTTGAATTTTGATCTTTTTCTGGGCTAGCAATACCCTATCTGACAGATGCTCTCTTGCAACCCTGGGCAGCGGCAGCAGCCACAGCTCCCAGTCAGCCACACGATCACAAGGGGCAGCAGCTGATCCTTCACAGTGTCCTGAGTTGCTAAACTATGATGTCCTGTGAGTTAAGTGGATTCAGTGTATTTTTGATTTATGACCTTTGCAATGTGCCGTGGGTTGTCAGGATCTAATCCCATCGTATATGATGGAGCATCTGAATTCTGTTCCTAGTTTGTCTCACTTCACCACCTCTTGGGGTCATCTCTTCTGGACTTTCAACCAAATGTGTGAGAAAGGCAGCCTGCCGGTGGAGCAGACGGCATTGTAGCGTGTGCTCTACAGCCAATAGACCTCTTTAAAGCCTGTCATTTGGGGTTATCTGTGCTGTCCGCTCACTGTGACTCAGAGTTGAATGTAATTACTCTTTCCCTTACAAGATTATGAAGATAAGGTCAAACTAACCTCTCTCCTTTCTGAACAAACCTTCTGTTCTCAGATTCTCGTGAACCTGAAGCAGATGTTAGGAGGCACACAGAACAGTGGATTATCATAGGTCCATAATGCAGCAAAAATTCTGTCCCTTGAACATAATTAAAATGTTCATTTCTTGTCCCTTTACACTGTCATGTATCAAACACAAAGACGAGGAAATAGAATTCTGCTTGCTAAAATTAATTACAGGACAAAAATATCAGAATACAATGCCTTCAGTTCAAGTATTTCTCTCTTTTTTTGAGATTTATTAATTTATTTGAAAGGCAGAATTACAGAGAGGCAGAGGCGGGAGGAGGGTGTCCTTCATCTGCTTGTTTGCTCCCCAAATGGCTGTGATGGCCGAAGCTGGGCCAACCCAAAGGCAGGAGCCAGGAGCTTCTTCTGGGTCCCCTGCGTGGGTGCAGGGGCCCAAGAACTTAGGCCATCTTCTGTTACTTTCTCAGGCCATAGCAGAGAGCTGGATCGGAAGTGGAGCAGCCAGGACTCGAACCGGCGGCCATATAGGATGCCAGCACTGCAGGCAGCAGCTTTACCCGCTGTGCCATAGCACCAGCCCCAGTTCAAATATTTCTAACACTCTTTATGTATATTACCTTACGAAGCTGAATTTACTTCTTTACGTAATGGTATGGTGCCATGATCAGTGAACCTACACAGTTGTGGTTTGCATTCACTGACAGGTGAGCCTGAGTGGCACTTTTAGAATGGTAAACCTCAAATAAGCATGCTTTGTCATTTGGAAAGTCACTGTCCTTGTCACGTTCTCTGATGGCTTCTCTGTGTGTGTGTCTGTGTTTCCAAAAGGATGACATTGGAAAACTGGGCAAGCTGTTGATGCAGGGCCCGTTCAACGTCTGGACGATTCACAAGGATCGCTACAAAATGAAGGATTTTATTCGATTTAAGCCCAGCCAGAGGCAAATCTATCTATTTGAAAGGGGAATCGTGTTCTGCAAGATCCGAATGGAGCCCAGTGACCAGGGGTTCTCTCCTCATTACAGCTTTAAGAAGTCTATGAAGGTAAAAGGGATCCTGCTGCACCTGGCAATCACCCATCACCACTACCGGAGAAAGAGAGAGGGAGAGGGAGAGAGAGAGAGAAAGAGAATTGACCTGTTTTACAGATGAGGAAGCTGAAGCTTACGGAGTCGAAGTTATCTTGCCAAATACCACACAGTAGGGGCAGAACCCACACCCAGGGTCTGGGCCAGGGCTGGCACAGGGCTGACTTCATGCTAGGTAGAGAAAGGCAGAAAAAAGGGACTGTATGGTAGGTAGCCTTTCTTGACAAACTAATTAGTCAAAGTACCCTCTTTCTTCCAGGCAAATGGGTGAAAGATTTGGTGATTTTAGAGCATGGGCTGAATTTCGTTTTATTTTATTTTATTTTTTAAGATTTATTTACTTATTTGAGAGGCAGAGTTACAGACAGTGAGAGGGAGAGACAGAGAGAGGTCTTCCATCCACTGGTTCACTCCCCAGATGGCAACGCCTGGAGCTGCGCTGATCCGAAGCCAGGAGCTTCTTTCAGGTCTCCCACGTGGGTGCAGGGGCCCAAGAACTTGGGCCATTTTCCACTGCTTTCCCAGGCCATCAGCAGGGAGCTGGATGGGGAGAGGAGCAGTCAGCTCTTGAATCAGCTCCCATATGTGATGCTGGCTTCAGAGGCAGAGGCTTAACCTTCTATGCCACAGTACTAGCCCCTGAGTTTCGTTTTTGACTTGCCCTTTCCAACTGCACTCCCTTGTGTACGACTGAAGGCAGCATCCTGACCCTGGGGGCCTAAGAACCCCAGTCCACAGTGAGCATTGTCTGCTGCCTGTGTCACAGGAGAGGTTTCCTAACATCCCCATCCCCACACACACTTTTGTTTCTGTGTTTCAAGCCACTAATGTATTGATAGTATCCCTTGTTCTTTATATTTCTTAGTGGGTACTCATTTAGTTAGCATCATTTAGGCATTTGTGAAACAGGTGTTAAACATGACGTGCTCTCCTCTTTTGAAAGATAGAGTCTGTTACCTTGTGAAACATAAAGCATTGATAGTCTTCCAGATTGTGTTTTATGTTGCCTTGGGCCAAAAACAGAGGAAAGCAAAACACTTAGAAGGAAGATGGAAGAAGAGAGCTGTTGTTGGTAGAAAGAATGAGAGTGACAAACATTTATTTTTTTTTAATTAATTTATTTGAAAAGCAGAGACACAAAGACAGAGATCGTCCACCTACTGATTTATTCCCTGAATACCTTCATCAGCCAGGCCTGAGCAAGTCAAAAGCCTGGAGCTGGTAACTCAACCCTGGGCTTCCCTGTGGCAGGGACCCAACTACTTGGACCATCACCTGCTGCCTCTCAAGGTGTACATTAGCAGGAACCTGGAATCAGAAGCAGAACTGGGATTCAAACCCAGGCACTCCAATATGGGATGTAGGCATCCAACATGGTATCTTAACAACTGTGACAGGTGCCCTTCCCAGCTATAATTTTAATGTCAGAACATGATGGTATAGAACACTTTTCTTCTTTCTTTACAATAGTTGGTGACACTTTCAATTCGCCAAGTTGGAAGAGGGAGCAATAAAAAGTTTGAAATTGCCAACCGAAGTGGGCTGGAGAAATACATCCTGCAGGTAAAGCTCAGACTTTCCCCAAGGTGTCCTCTCCTCTTTCCCTGCTGTGTCCTCCTAACTCACCAAGCGTTTCCTCTCTCACTGTCCTCAAGGGCACTCAGAGAGTAGAAGCTGTGTGCAGTGATGCTCAGGGGATCTGATTCTCACAGTGTTTTCTTATCTGTAATTGCAGGCCACTTCAAAAGAAATCAGAGATTGCTGGTTTTCAGAAATAAGTAAATTACTGCTGGAACAAGAAAACAATATTAAAGGTAGGGGCCCCTGCCAACTTTCAGCTGGACAATTATCCAGCTTCCATCTTTGTGGTGGGTGTGTAGGCTGGGGATATCATTCAAGAAAATGATTTGCCAGGAAAATAACAGTGGCCACATTGTTGTAGTCCCTGGACACCCCTGTGCTTGCTTTAGATTGTGTGCATTATTTCTGTATGGTTGTATAGATGTGTGCCTTTTAGTTATGTTCTTCCACATACCTAATTGCCAGGTCAAGTTTAAAAAAAAAGATTTATTTTTTATTTATTTGAAAGGCAGAGTTACAGAGAGAGATGGAGAAACAAAACACAAATACACACAGGGATCATCCATCCACTTATTCACTCCTCAAATGGTTCTAACAGCCAGGACTGGGCCAAGCCAAAGCCAGGAGCCTGGAACTCCATCTGGGTCTCCAGTGTGGGTGGCAGGGGCCCAAGTCATTGGACCACCTTCCGCTGCCTTCCTGGGTACATTGGCAGGGAGCTACATTGGAGGTGGAGCAGCAGGAACTTCCAACTGGGGCTCATTTGGGATGCCAGCATCACAGGTAGCAGCTTAACTCACAATTCCAGCCCCCAGGTCAGCTTTTCAGTCAAAAACCCCAAAGCCACCCAGGGAAGTGTCAACAGAGATTCAATGCTATATTACCTTTCAGAAGGTGTACCACTTCTTTTTCAAGTGTTGAGAAAGAATTAACATACCTTAAAATTTGCTCTCAATCCAGTGAGTTTTACATTCTTCACATATTATATAATCATTGCTACTCTAAATCTAATTCCAAAGGGTTTTTTAAAAACTTTTCTTCTTACTTTCTCAATTCTTCCCAGTTTTGTCTCCATCTCTTCTTCAGCTTATTTCATACTCTTTTTTAAAAAAAAAAAAAGATTTATGTATTTATTTGAAAATCTTAGTTACGGAGAGAGAGAGAGAGACAGAGATCTTCCATTCATTGGTTCACTCCCCACAGATGGTTGCGATGGCCAGGGCTGAAGCCAGGAGCTGGGAGCTTCATCTGGGTCTCCCACATGTGTAGCAGGAGCTAAGTACTTGGGCCATCATCTGCTGTTTTTCCCAGGCCTTTAACAGGGAGATGGACCAGAAGTGGAGCAGTTGAGACACAAACCGGTGCCCATATGGGATGCCAGAATCGCAGACAGTGACTTGACCCACTACACCACAATGCTGGCCCTGATTCCAAAACATTTTCACAACCTGCACCCCAACCCTGTATTAATTAGCTGTCATTCTTCATTGTTTCCCTTCCCCTAACCCATGCCATGGCTGGTCAACTTCCAGTCTCTACTGGCTTTTCTATTCTAGACATTGTAAACACTTGGAATCATGTGCACTGTGGCCATTCCTGTCTAACTCCTTTGACTTAACATAATTTTGTCATTTCATCCAGGTTTGTAGCATGCTTAATTCTCCATTCCTTTTTTATGGCTAAATAATAGACCATCGTATGGTAATCCTATTGTCTTAGTCATTTTGTGCTGCTCTCAGAAAACATTACAAACTGGGTAATTGGAAATGAACAGAGTTTCTTGGCTTACAGTTCTAGAGGCTGGGAAGTTTAAGGTTGAGAGATTCGGTGAGGGTCATCGCTGCATCATCACGTGGCAGAAGACAAGAGCAAGGGGTGCAGTGACCTCAACCCTTTATAAGCTCTTACAGCCACATACATTCCTGCTGAAAAGCATCCGTCTCTTCATGACCCATACACCTTCCACTAGGCCCCAGATAACACCACCACACTGGGATCAACTTTCTAACACTTGAACTTTGGAGGACTTACTTGTTCATCTGTTTGTCAGCTGATGAGCATTTGAGTTGTTTCCAGTTTTCATATATTGTAAATCATGATGCTGTCGATATCTGTGCACAAGTTGTTGTACAGAACTTTTATTTCTAATTTTTCTGGGTAAACATAGTGGAAACGCTGGGCCATATGGTGACTGTGATAACTTTCCAAGGGACTTCCAAATTGTCTTCCAAAGCAGTAGCACCATGTCACGCTCACAGTAACAGTGGATGAGGGTTCCATTTTCTCCGCTGTTTCACCAGCACTTGGTATCGTCCATTGTTGTGATGGTGGTGGTGGTGGTTGAGGATATGAAGTGGTATTTCATTGTGGTTTTCTCATCCTTCTCATGGCTACAAATGTGAAACACTTTTTCACACACTTAGTAGCCCTTCCTGTATTTTCTTTGAAGATCTTTCTAGTCAGCTCCTTTGCCTATTTTTCAGTCATTTGCTTTTTCAAGATTGAGTTGTAAGTTTTTTATATACATATAATATTATATATTTTTTCTTTTTACTAGCACTCTTCTCCGATACATGATTGGCAAGTGTTTTGCCCACTCTGTGCATTGTCTTTTTACTTTATTGATGGTGTCCTTTGAAGCACAACTTGCTTTATTTCAATGAAGTCTAATGGATCTGTTTTTTCCTTCAGTTGCTTGTATTTTAGATGTCGTATCTAAGACACCACTGCCTAAGCCAAGGTCATGATGATTTATTTCTATACTTTCTTCTAAGAGTTTATAGTTTTAACTTTCATTTAAATCGTTGATCATTTTGAGCTAATTTTTGTATGCTAGCTTTCCCCTTCATTGCAGGCTGTGGGTTTCCAAGACTACCCCAAGAAAGAGGGAGGGGTTAGGGACAGTACAAGCTAAAACACCCCAACACTCATGTTCATGCAGAGAACTAGCTGTTTCTCTTAAGCAGGTGTTACCCAGATTTTGCAAGTCTTCCATGGAAGAGAGAATCTTTGCAGGGTTTTTCTTCCCCACATTTTCACTGATGGTACTCCCTAAACTCCTTTTAATAATTAAAAATCACCAGTGAGTAGGCTTCAGTCTTTCACATTGATTTCCATCATAGCAGAGATAATTGGTGGTGGAAGAAATCACGCCAAGCTTCATCAATTGAATTTTATTATCTCCAAAATGCCAGTCTCATGGAAAATCCATCCGCCATTTATACTGGCCACAGATTGCATGTTTAGTAAGAAAAATTATTTAAGAATGGAAAGATAAATTTTATCTCCAGGGACTTGGCAGGCATGCAACGATTTCACACTCTTCCTGCAAATTCTCTGAGCAGCAGCCAGTCGGGAGCATGCGCAGTGGGGTGTGGAGGATACGGGGGCGGCTGTGGTTTTTCCACATGATAAGATAAACTAAGGGGATGACTGGAAAACCACCACCCCAGCTTTCTGTCACAGCCACCAAGCAATGTAAGTTCTTCATTTAAACTGTAAGCCTTATGCCAGGAAGCAGTAGCAAGGCTATACCAGTACAGTTGCTTTTTTTTTTTTTTTAGAGATTTATTTATTTATCTGAAAGTCAGAGCTACACATAGAGGAGAGGCAGAGAGAGAAAGAGATAGATCTTCCAGCCGCTGGTTCCCAATTGGCCACAATGGCTGGAGCTGTGCCCATCTGAAGCCAGGAGCCAGGAGCTTCTTCCAGGTCTCCCATATAGGTGCAGGGGCCCAAGGACTTGGGCCATCTTCTACTGCTATCCCAGGCCATGGCAGAGAGCTGGATTGGAAGTGGAACAGCCGGGACTCAAACCGGCACCCATATGGGATGCTGACACTGCAGGCATTGGCTTTACCTGCTATGCCACAGCGCTGGCTCCTATAGTAGCTTTTAACTTGTATAAAGGTAACATCAGGGAGACTATGATTTAGCTTTGCTTTTCCACTGTTAACACCATGCTAAGTATATGTTATGATAATTGAGAACCAGTTCTCCAGAGGCATACAACACCTCTAGCAGAGAAAGTTAACTTGTTTTCCTCAGAAACACTATTCTACTCACGAGGTTATTCTAGAAATCCTTACTCCCTAAACCAGTGTTTCTTGAAGGATGCTTTGGGGACCACCTGTATTAAGAATGACGTGAAGAACTTCTTATAATTGTGGAGCTGGGGCTGGCATGTGGCATAGCGGGTTAAGCTGCCTCCTGTGATGCTGGCAACCTATCTGGGTGCCGGTTCGAGTCTTGGCTGCTCTGTTTCTAATTCAGCTCCTTGCTAATGTGCCTTGGAAAAAACAGTGGAAGATGGTGCAAGTGTTTTGACCCTTCCCATCCACATGGGAGACCCGTATGGTGCTCCTGGCTCCTGGCTCCAGCTTGGCCCAGCACTGGCCATTGCAGACAGCTGGGGAGTGAACCAGTGGATGGAAGATTCTCTCTCTCTCTCCCCCTCTCCCTCTCTCTAACTCTTTCGGATAAATAATTAATTTTTTTCTAAAAAAGTATGGAGTTATAGGTCCCACCCCAGGGTCATGGGATTAGAATAACCATGATTAGGGGCCGGCACCGTGGCGCAGTAGGTTAATCCTCTGCCTGCAGCACCAGCATCCCATATGGGTGCCAGTTCGAGTCCCAGCTGCTCCACTTCCAATCCAGCTCTCTGCTATGGCCTGGGAAAGCAGTAGAAGATGCCCCACGTGCTTGGGCCCCTGCACCTGTGTGGGAGACTGGGAAGAGACTCCTGGCTCTTGGCTTCGGATCAGCGCAGTTCCGGCCGTTGCAGCCATTTGGGGAGTGAACCAATGGAAGGAAGACCTTTCTCCCTGTCTCTTCATCTCACTGTCTGTAACTCTACCTCTCAAATAAATAAATAAAATCTTTTAAAAAAAGAATAGCCTGATTAGTGCCTGGTGATATGCATTTTAGCTTATTAAAATTTCTAGACACAGAACTCATAGTATAATTAAAAAAATTATTTGGGAAGCAGAAATGGGAGTGGGAGGGGGAGGCTCCTGTTCAGTGGTTCACTCCCCAGATGTCTGCATGAGGCCTGGGCTGGGCGGAATCTGGGAGCTGGGAACTCAATCCAGGTCTCCCATGTGGGTGGCAGGAACCCAGTTATGGAGCCATTCCTGTTGCTTCCAGGGTCTGCATCAGGAGGAAGCTGAGTCAGAGGTGGAGGCGGGCATGGAACCCAGGTACTGAGAGCTGGGATGCAGCAGTGCTCGCCTGCGGTTTGATTGTGGGGCCAAATGCCTGGCCCGACCACAGTTTTTAAAACAGCTTTACCGAAGTATTGTGACGTCATAAAGTGCACGCATTAGAAACGTGCGAAAGCGTCAGCACAGCCCTTGCTCCTGCCTCTGCCTCACTCGCTCGTCCGCCTTCTCTCCCTGTAGATTGGTTCACATTTGCCAGAATTCCACAAAGAGTCATACAGGATATACTATTTTTTTTCGGTCTAGCTTCTCTTACTCAGCTAATTAGTTTGAGATTCATCTATGTTGCTCTGTGTAACAGTAGTACCTTTCTTTTTGTTGCAGAGGATTATCCCATTATTTGACTATAATTTCTTTATCGTTTACCTGTTAATGGATAGTCTATTTCCACTTTCTTGGCCTAATAGCACTCTTGTGAACATTCAAGGATAATCTATGTGTGGACATATGTTTTCATTATTCTTGGGTAAATGCCTAAGAGTGTAATGGTTAGGCCATATGGTAGTTGTATATTTACCTTTTTAAGAAATTGCTGTTTTCAGCTGGCGCTGCTGCTCACTAGGCTAATCCTCTGCCTGCGGCGCCGGCACCCCGGGTTCTAGTCCCGGTTGGGGCACCGGTTCTGTCCCGGTTGCTCCTCTTCCAGTCCAGCTCTCTGCTGTGGCCCGGGAAGGCAGTGGAGGATGGCCCAAGTGCTTGGGCCCTGCACCCACATGGGAGACCAGGAGGAAGCACCTGGCTCCTGGCTTCGGATCAGCTCAGCGCACCAGCTGCAATGCGCTGGCCGTAGCGGCCACTTGGGGAGTGAACCAACGGAAAAGGAAGACCTTTCTCTCTGTCTCTCTCATTGTCTTACTCTGCCTGTCAAAAAAGAAAAAAATTTCTGTTTTCCAACGTGGTTATACCATCTTACATTTTCACAGTTATATCACCTTACATTCCCACCTGCTCCATGTCCTTACCAACACTTGGTGTTGTCTGTCTTTTCAATGTTCAGCTTTCTAATAGCCGTATAGTGGCCTGTCATTGAGGTTTTAGTTTGCTTTTCCCTAGGGACCAGTGGTTGAACATTTAATCACATGCTTCTTTGTCATCTCTGTATTGTCTTTGGTGAGATGTCTGTTCAAATCTTTTGCTTATTATTTTCTTGAGAATGAGTTTTGGGGCCAGTGCTGCGGCATAGTAGGTTAAGCCACCACCTGCGGTGCCACATCCCACATGGGTGTTGCTTCAAGTCTCAACTATTCCACTTCAGATCCAGCTCCCTGCTAATGGCCTGGGAAAGCAGTGGAAGCTGGCCCAAGTGCTTGAGCCCTTGCACCCATGTGGGAGTCTTGGAAGAAGCTCCTGGCTCCTGGCTTTTAATTGGCTCAGCTCTGGCCACTGTGGGCATTTGGGGAGTGAACCAGCAGATGGAAGACCTCTCTCTCTGTCTCTCCCTGTCTCTGTAACTCTTACTCTCAAATAAATAAATCTTTAAAAAAAATGAGTTTTGAAAGTATCCATATATATCGTAGATATAAGTCCTTTATTAGACATATGCTTTGCCAACATTTTCTTTCAATGTGTGGCTTGAAGTTTTTGTTCCCTTAAAAGTAACTTTTATTGAGCAGAATAATTTAATTTTGATGAAATCTAATATTTAAAATTTTATGGGTCATAATTTTGATATCATGTCTTAGACATTACTAAAAGCCACAAAGATTTCCTTTTATTTTTCTTCTAGAATTTTTATAGTTTAAGTTCTGTGTGTAGGTCTGTGATCCATTTTCTGGGGTTTTTGTTTTTGTTTTTATGTGGTGTGAGATATGGATCAAGGTTTGGTTTGAGTTTTTTTGCATATTGATATCTAATTGTTTCCATTACCATTTGTTGGGAGGCACTATCCTTTCTCCAGTTGACTCTTTATGTAAGTGCATCTATTTCGGATGCCCTATTCTGTTCCACTGATTCGTCTGTCTTAACATCGGTGTCTCACTATCTTGATGCTATATCTTTATAATACATCTGAAAATCAGATAGCTTGAATCCCCCAACTTTGTTCTTCCTTTTAAAGTTGTTTTGTGTCCTTTATATTTCCATATACAGTAAAACTTCGGTATCCATGGGAGATTGATTAAAGGATGCCTAGAATCGATTAGATTAGAAAGTTACAAACAAAACCTACAGATAACAAAATCTGCAGATGCTCAAGTCCCTTATATAAATCATGTAGCATTTGCATAAACCTATGCATAACCGCCTGTATACTTTAAATCATCTCTTGATTACTTAAAATACCTAGTACAATGTAAATGCTATGTAAATTATTGTTGTACTATACTGTTTAGAGAATAATGGCTAGCAAAAAAAGTCTGTACACATTCAGTATAGAGGCAGTTGTTGTCCCAATATTTTTAATAAATGGTTGGTTGAACCCAGGGTTGTGGAACTCATGTAGGCAGAGGGCTGACTGTATAATTTAGGATAAGTTTATCAATTTTCTACAAAAATGCTTCTTGGGATTTTGATTGGGATTGTCTAAAATCTATAGACCAACTTGGTGACCTATAAATCAATTAACTTCTTAATATGGAGCATAATCTACAACTTAAATTTTAACCGAGTCCCCCTGACCTGCCCTGTCTTGTAGAGAAAGACACAAGCTTCTTACGAAGCCATGCCGTTTATTCCATTAGTAGTTCAGACGCACATTTTTCAAGTCCTCTTCAAGGTCTGGCACTGTGCCTTCTAGGCTGTAAAAAATCTAGATAAGAAACAGGACCAGACCCTAGCATGTAGCTTAGATAAAAAGAAAAAAGTTTTTGAACTGAAAAGCAAGCCCAGAGGTGTTGGCCCAGCCTCTTCCTTTTGTGGATTTGCAGAGGGTGATGTCACGCAACTTGTCAGCAGCAGAGGCTTGTCTCATGAGCAGGGCCTCCCGATGAAATGTCATGGGCAGTAAGGTACACAGCACGGCTCCCAGGACTGAGCGAGGGCCTGCAGTGGACTGTGGGAGCAAGTGGGAGCCACGGCCCTGGGGAGAACCCTAGGAGATGAGACTCCAGGCCTCAAACCGCAGCGGAACAGTTTGTCTTTATGATACCGTAGGCAGCGAGGAGCCACTGGACATGTGTTGCGGCTCTGAAACCCGGAGTAACACCTGAATAAAAAATGTGATTCTTACCACCGTCCCAAGGACTCAGGATCTGTCCATCACCATGGCATCTAATTTGGTGTCAGGTGGAAAAAATAAGCCCTTAATGGGCACATTCTTTATCCCTTAATCCAGGGTGACGCTGGCCGTTGATACTTGGCTGAACCCAAATCCAGGCCCGCAGGGATCTCCACAGGATGGGCTGGGGAGGGGCAGAATTCCAGGACCCAATGAGGTGCAGAGAGGGTTTCTGGATTCCTGGGGAAGTAAGATCAAGATCCACACACGTTGATGTTTTTAGAGTATTCTCTCCAACTCCATATGTGGATACAAAACCAATTCACATTAGCTTAAATTTGAGAAAGCTTTATTCTTGTTCTTTGGTTAATTCCAGGCCATGGGAATCTACAGTTTGAAGCAAATACTAGGTAAGTACTGATTTTTTAATTTTTTCAGTGAGTGTCAAGTTCATATTGATTCTGTGTGACTGCTTTTACAGATGTTTTTTCAACATTTAGCTTATGACATGGGATTTCCACTTTTTAAAAAAATATCAGTTCCCCAGCCCCACTGCTAGCCTAGGTTACTGTTTCTGGTGTTTCCCTGCTCTGTTGCTAGCTGAAGTTTTGCTTACTTGCTGTTTTCTGATCACTGCCCTTCCTGGCTTCGTTTCCTCTTGTCTGGGACCAGGATGCACTTGTGCCCTTGTCGGCGTTAAGTTTTAGTGGTGCTCCCTGCTCCATCTATTTCTGCCACTTGTAAACTTTCTCCCTATCCGGGGTATTCAGGAGGTACTCAATATATGCCCGTCGAGTGGACCTGAAGCCTGCGATTCAGTTCTGCTCCGGGGGCCTCCTTAGCTTCTGCTAAGGCTCATTTGGCCTGATGCTTCCAGAGCTACCCAGCCCTTACCCAGAGCGGGGGGGGGGGGGGGGGGGGGGGGGGACGAGGGCTCTGGAAGAGCTGAGTCTCCCTCCTCTGCAGCCACGTGCTTAAGGAGCGCTCGTTTCCAGCATTTAGCAGGTTCCGGTGTAATTGCGTAATGCGTTTAAATTTTCCTCCCTGCTAGACCATGAATTCCTCTAGACGTGGAGGGGGTCTTAGCAGTTCTAGCTGCCCCGGAGCCTCCTCTACAAGGCTCCCGGCACTTGTGCAGGTGCTCAGTGTTTGGTGAACGTGCCAGTGAAAGACCTTGCTGAGTGGCAAACTACTCTGCGAGCGAAGACAGAGGCGGGTGGGGTCCAGCTCAGGTGCATCCCGTTCACCTTGGAGTTCCAAGGCCTCCTAAGCATTTGTGCATTGAACTAATCTAATCCCAAAGAGTTTCTTTAATAGTTGGTGTTTCAGGCAACCAGGAAGAGCAGGGAGGAGCTGTAGTGAGTCAGGGAAACCATTTTTGAGGAGAGAAAAGGAGGGTTCCTGCTCCTCGCTTGTCGTCTTTTTAGGATGTTAACTGCGGCGTCCTCGGCCCATTCTCTTACTGGCTATGACCACAGAGTTGTACAGGCGAGGGAGGAGACACTTTCCCGCAGATGTGACCTGCCCTGAGCCAGCGCTGCCCCTCCCGCTGCCTCCCTGTCCCGTGACTCGGCGCTCATGCGTATTTCTCTCGAGCAGAGGCAGTGGAGTTGAATGTGTACCCTGGGTGGAAACCATGCGGAGAGCCTCTGCTAGCAAGGAAGAGCCGGTGTCCCGCATGCCCGGGATGAAAGGTAGGCTCCAGAGGGGGAGGGGAGCGCGGAGCACCGGAGGGCTGCCAGGGCCTGTTGCTGGGGGAGACATCACCGCAAGTGTAAGAGGGCATATGTGCCGTCGACGTGCTAGAAACACAGTTTCCTATTGGTCCGTGGAGATCTAATCGGGTCGGGGTTAAGACGAAGCAGCTGTCTCAGGTTGAGAGGAGGCCTCCCGTTCTTGTCCTCCTAAGGAAATGACTAGAGGGGAAAGAGCAGCACGTGGTTCTGCTTTAGAATGAAGACCCCCCCTGGCCTTTATTTCTCGCGCTCCGGGATTTGCGGACGCCACCTCCTCCCCACGCTTCCCGTTGGGAGGTTAAGAGTTCTTACCGAGGTACTTTCTCATCACCTCAGCTCTGGCTGCTTTGTGTGGTGATTTTCCTGGGGGCAGAATTGGGCAGCAGCTTAAGGAGGGAAGCAGTGTGGAGGCATTTTTATATTTATTGATGCAAGAGTAAACTACGTATTTATGGGGCTTTGAGTGTGCTATTGTTTTTTCTTTCTCCTCCTCTTAAGCCTCTTCTTCTTCCTGCTATTTTTTTTGCTATGTAAACAAAAGGTAATCTTTCCCAAAAAACCTCTGGTTTATGCTTTTGCACTGCCCATGGAATTTTAGAATTTTGAAGTTTTGTTTTACACTATGTCTCCGTCAGCTCAGACTGTCATACACAAAACAGCAGATGGAGTGGCTAGAATAAGAGAACGCCCTCATTTCACCGTTCGGGGCGCTGGAAGTCTGACAGCAGGGTGCCGGCACAGCCGGGTTCGAGTGAGGGCTCTCTTCCCGACTTGCCCACCCGCGCCAGGGCAAGGCCAACTCATGTAAGCTGCTTCTTCAGGCTTCTAGACCCTGGGGTGCTAATGGGCAGGAAAGGCAAATGGAACAGGAAGAGGATCATGAAATTAAGGAATGAGATGTTCCGTCTTGGTCAACAAATTTTACTAGCAGTACCATTTAATATGACAGTGATTCTTAGGGTATGTGGTCATTTTATACACTTGTGTATTTGGGAAATAAAATAGGACTCGTTTTCTTCTTTGTACAGAACAGGAAAAGTCAGGATTGAGAAAATCCTTTTTTTTTTAAAGATTTATTTGAAAGTTAGAGTTACACAGAGAGAGGAGAGGCAGAAAGAGAGAGAAAGAGAGGTCTTCCATCCGATGGTTCACTCCCCAGATGGCCGCAACGGCCAGAACTGCGCCGATCCAATCCGAAGCCAGGAGCCAGGAGCTTCCTCAGGGTCTCCCATGTGAGTGCAGGGGTCCAAGGACTTGGGCCATCTTCTACTGCCCTCCCAGGCCATAGCAGAGAGCTGGATGGGAAGTGGAGCAGCCAGGACTAGAACCGGCGCCCATATGGGATTCCGGCGCTTCAGACCAGGGCATTAACCTGCTGCACCACAGCGCCGGCCCCTTGAGAAAATCTTGGCTGGTGAGAGTTCCCAAAACGTAGTCCCTGAATCTCTTCATGATAAGTTTGTTCCTTGATGAGACGTAAAAGGAGCTTTGGGAGCTATGAGATTTTTATGTTTCGATTTCCAATCGAGATTTTGGGTTGGCTTGTGAAAAAAAATTTTTTGAGAAAAGGTAAAGGCAGCTTTTCATCTCTTAAATAATTGGTTGTAACCTCTAATGCTATCTTAGATTTGCTGTGGTAATGGGATTGAGTCAGGTTCTTGCTTCATTTTGAAAAACTCAAGGAGAAGGAAGACACCCTGGTATTGGACTTCATTTTCAGGTGGAGCTCAACAGACGGGTAAAATGTGTTTCTGTCCTCAGTCTAATAAGTTGTTTATTGAACAGGTGACACTTCAGATTATCAGGAACTATTTACAAATCGAACCTATGAAATGAGTCATAAAATGCTGTGTTCTTGAAGTGTTTAAAGTCTTTGATTATATGCAAGAATCCTTTAAAGAGACCTTTAAAAGGACATTTGCTTAAGGGTAGAAGGGGCAAGATTGGCAACATCTGCAAATTTGCTGATCACCAGTAGATAGGATCAATTGATAGATTTAGAGCTCCTCCTTCACCCAGAACATAAAGATGTGGGTTTTCCAGATGCCTGCCTTCCTTCCTTCCTTCCTTCCTTCCTTTCTTCCTCCTCTATCATGAAGGTTTAAGCTCATCAGATCCAAAAGTGGCGGGGTGAGCAGACAACGTCCAGTGGAGGGTGTGCCAGTGTAGGCTTGGCTGCAGACTCTGTGCATGTGTGTCCGTGTGTGTTTCTGTATGTAATGTCAGCAGGTGCGTGCACACACTGTTAGTGCTGGGAAGCAGGCTGTTTTTAGGAGACAAGAAGCTAACAGTGGAATAACCTGTTCTGTTTATATGAGCTTAGGGGACTTGTTCACTAGCTGGGGTCACCAAAAGAAGTAAAAAATGAAACCCAGTCACTGAAAGACCAGCGAGAAGACTGGCCGATAACACAAAAGCCCATCATAGTTAGCTATGAAAGGTAGTATAATACACTGAGAACACCAGGCACTCTTAGTCCTTGCTAGTGGAATGCACAAGGATCCAGCCACATTGGAATACAGCTTGGTGGCTTCTTACAAAGCCCAGCCTTGGCATACAATCCAGCACACACAATCCTTGGTATTTACCAAACTCAGTGGCAAACTGTGGCACATCTGTTCCGTGGAGTATTAGTTGATGCTGACAAGGAATGAGCCATCGGGCCCTGCAGAGATGAAGAGATGTGAAAGGCACGCTGGCGAGTGAAAGGTGCCAGTCCGAAGAGGCGGTAAGCTGATTACATGACGCTCTGAACAAGATACAGCTGTGGAGACAGGGAAACAACCAGTGGTTACCAGGAGTGCAGTGCGATGGAGGGATACATAAGCGAAGCACAGGAGAATTTTAGGGAAGTGAAACTAGTCCGTACGCCCCTCTAATATAGATACGTGACATCACGCATCTGTCCAACCTGAACTACTGCACAACACGAGGAAGAAACCCTCATGGAAACTGGGACCTCAGCTGATCATGTCAGCCCTGGCTCACCACTTGTAAGCATTGCATCACGTAAAAGCAAGACACTAATATAGGGAAAGTTAGAGGACCGTGGGAAACCAGCAGGGTTCTGTACGATCTGTTCCATTTTTTTCTGTAAATATGTAAGATTGTTACAAAAAATAAAGCTAACGCAGGAGCAAATCCAGTAGCTTCTGGCCCACCAGTGGATTACTGATTCAGAGTACAAAAGCCAAACCTGTCTCAAGATGGTGGGGCCAGTGCTGTGGCATAGTAGGTTAAACCTCTGTCTGCAGTGTCAGCATCCCATATGGGGATGTGTCCCAGCTGATTCTCTTCCAATCCAGGTCTCTGCTATGACCTGGGAAAGCAGTGGAAGATGACCCAGGTGCTTGGGCCCCTGCACCCACGTGGGAGACCAGGAAGAAGCTCCTGGCTCCTGGCTTTGGATCGGCCTAGCTCCAGCTGTGGTGGCCATCTGGGGAGTGAACCAGCAGTTGGAAGACCTCTCTGTCTCTCCCTCTCTCTGCCTGTAACTCTGCCTCTCAACTAAAGATGGCAAACCTAGGGTGCCATCTGTGCTCCCCTAGTCCGTGTCTTTGCCTCTCTCTCTCCCTGCTGTCATTGCCTCCCCGGTTTCATCTGGAAGTCCTCTCAACAAATCTGCACAACTTGCATCTGGGCACCTGATGTAAGACAGCAGCAGCAGAGGCCCTGGAAAGGACGGAATTCCGGTGTTGGGTCCTTGCTGGCCAAAGGCGGTGAGGGCCCCCTCGCTGGCGTCAGGAGGAGCATGGAGAGTCGGGGTCCCTGGCCTGCTCTAGCAGGTTCATTGCTAAGACCTTCACTTGGGGTTGACTCGGGGTCTGTAAGGCGGACAGGGATGCGGCCCCCGTGCAGCGTCTGTAGCATCCGGGAGAGGTGGGGAGAGCAGCATCTGTCAGGATGGTGGAAGTGGGAGTCCGTTAAGCATTTCTGGTGCATGGAAGAGAGAAAGTGACGGGCTCAGATTAGTCCCCAGTGTAAGTGCCACAAGGGGTCCAAGGGTCTCCTTGCCAGTGTTGAGCCCCTGTCTCCTGTTAGCACAGGACAAAGTGAGCAGAAGAGCATATGGCAGCACTTACAAGAAGGTGAATTCTCAGCTGAGGCACCTGCCACCTGCATCAGGGGGCTCCTGGTGCCATTCGGCGAGCAGGCAAGGCCAGGCCCTGAGAGGGAAGATGAGGGGCCCCAAAACTCGGGGTGCAGTCCCTTGGCCCTGTGGGCTGGCAGCCGTGGCCCACTCCTCTGTGTGGGACAACAGCTCTTTCCCCGGCCCCTGAGACTCAAATAAGGCACGCGAGACCATGTCTGCCCGTCCCAGGGTTCGTCCCTGCTGTTCTTCCTGACGCCCTGCAGAACTAGAAGCGGGATCAGACTGCAAATGGCTTGACCGAGGAAGAGGCACTCCGACCCACAGGAAGGCGCTTGAAGTGTAAGGAACTGGAGGCAGGGAGTGGGCACTGAGCCCGGCAGTTCAGACGCCCGCATCTCACACGGGCTTGCTTGCTCCTGACTCCAGCTGCCTGCTCAGTGCAGACGCTGGGATGCAGCAGGGACGCTCAAGTCAGTGAACTCCGACTGCTCAGGTGGAAGAACCTGGACTGTGTTCCCAGATCCCGGATCCGGCCATAGCCCAGCCCTGGCCCTTGTGGGCATTTGGGGGCTGAAGCAGCAGTTGGGGGGCGCGCGTTCTCTCTCTCTCTCTCTGACTCAGATGAATAAAAAGCAAGAACCTTTGATGCTTTAACGCTTCCCAGAGGAGATCCATGCAGATCCGTAACAAAGCGATCAGGCCGACTGGATGCCTCGGCTGGTAACGTCAGCCAGCTTCCGCCTTGGCGCCTCAGTGCCGGCAGCTTGGGCTCATAAACAGAGAAGCCTTGGTGGCAGAACTGGAGGCCATGCATGGGCCCAGCGGGGTGGGCTGCCCAGCGTGGAGACGGAGCCAGCCCTGAGCCACGGCGATTTCATCAGACCCCGCAGGCTGGGAAGTGCAGTGTGTGATCAGTTGTACAACATTGCTTCCATCAAGAGACTCTCTGAGGCAAAACAGGACTCACCGTGGACAAGGGACACAGACCCACCCCATTCAGAAGCTGCCGGCTTCACAGTGGACTGGGACAGCCTCTTGGTGGCGAGGGGGGGCCACGGTTTGAACGTGGCACTGTGGGGATGCTGTCCTTCAGGGAGCAGTGGGTACCTTAATGCAACAGCTATTTTTGTGGCGCTGTGCCCCAGTAGGCAGAATGTATATGAGTGTGGGAGGCAAGAGAATGGAGAAGTTATGACCTCACTCCTAGTGACCCCCGGGGAGTTTGTGCCCCCCACCCCTGCAGTTTCAGTCTCCGTGGGTCTGGAGTGGGTTCAGTTCCCAAGGGGGACAACTTCTACAAGAGGGTGCAGGGAGAGTCCTGTTAGCCACCATCTCCCTCCCACTCGTTCTAGAAACACACCACACATGCCCACGCCCACCCCATTTGGCACTTCCGGTGGTGGCCACGTACTGGGTGTCCCCAGCTCTCAGCAGCTGATGGCTTTTTTACACGCCCACTCATGGCGGCACCTGGACAGAGAGTTGAGCGGTATCCTAGTGGGTCACCTGCTCGTCACACACACCCCTGTCCACCTCCTTGTAATGATCGGCACCAGTGCCTGCTCCCAGGAAGGCACCTGCAGGACACAGTGACAGGGCTGCTCACGCCGATGGGGACAGGGCCCGGGTGGCATAGGGAGGACCCATGCAGTTTCCTGACAGGACAGGCCTGGCTCAGGTGGGTTTGCAGGTTCTGGTGCTACTGGGGAACCAAACCCCCTCTCCGGCAGCTGACAGTGAGAATGAAGGAGTGGGTTCCTGGCTTGGATTGTGTGGAAAAGTTTGAATTCTGAAGTTAGGTTTGTCTGTGATGTGCAGAGCCCTGGCTGTGGGGAAGATACATGAGGTAAGAATGACCATCGTATCAGAAGAGCCTCTTCTTGTGGACCTTGGAGAGCTGTGGGCGCCCCTGCAGGCCTCGTTGCAGCTCCCCTGTCTGTCCCTCAGGGTCTTGGAGGTGACCTTGGAGGTGACCTAGGGACTGTCTTATGCAGGAGGGGTATCTCTGCCAATTTTGGTGGCATTTCCTTTGGAACCTAGATGATTTCATTATTATTTTTATTTTCTTGTTTTTCAAAATGATTTCATGCACTCTGTTTATATTTTTAAAAATGTTTATATATTTATTTGAAAGGCAGAGCTACAGAGAGAGAGCGATCTTCCATCCCATGCTCATATTCTAATGAAAATAAGTTCTAGCAGAATCCTTTCTGGTGAGATGGTGGGTGATTTTAGGTAACTAACCAACTGGTTTTATTCAAATGTCAGTTTCCACAAGGAAACTAGTTTAACTTTCCTTTTCTGATCATAAAAAGGAATGTACATATTATAGGTTGTAAAAAATATAGAAAATCCAGAGGTTGGCATTGTGGTGCAGCAGGTTAAGCTGCCGCCCGCGATACTGGCATTCTATATCAGAGTGCCAGAGCGCTGGTTTGGGTCCCGGCTGCTCTGCTTCTGAGCCAGCTCCCTGCTAACGGACCTGGGTAAGCAGTGGAAGATGCTCCTGCCACCCACATCCAGGGGGAGGTCAAGGCTTGGCTTTGGTCCAACCCAGCCCTGGCCCTTCTGGCCATTTGGGGAGTGAACCAGCAGACAGAAGATCTTTCTCTCTCCTACTCTTTCTCTTACTAAATAAATGTATTTTAAAAATCCAGAAAAATGCAAATAAGACATATTCAGTTATGAAAACTGTGAATATCTTCCAGACTTTGTCTACAAAATTGTGTAATTTTTTTAAAAAAAGATGTATTTATTTATTTGAAAGGCAGAATTCTAGAGAGAGAAGGAGAGACAGAGAGCCACAGCACTGACCCCCAGTGTGATTTTTTTTTTTTAATAATTAGAGGCATACTAAAGTTGGAAAACTCCCATTAACTATTATCTGGTGAAATGGCAAGGTTGGGCGCTAAGAGGTGGGCTCCCAGCTGTGCAGTCACCTTGGAAGTCCAAGACACCTGGCCCAGGCTGCCCTGGAAGCTAGCAACGACTCTGACAACAGAAAATGCACACACACATCCCACACACACACACATACCCTGAGAATATGCAGAATCTGAAAGCGATTCGTTGGACAAGCTACTTCTCAGCCAGAGCAAACGAAATGGACACTTCAGCTATGGAACCACGTACATCTCCAAGTCGACCCCAGGGGCCACCAAGCAGAAGGCCGCAACCCAACCTCGGCTGCTGGAAGCGTTCTGGAGCTGTCTCTTGTCAGGAGCTCTGGAGAGCTGCCTTCGGAATGGACCAGAGTTGGGGCTTGATTAGCAACTGCCTGATGACTATGGGCCCAAACGGGCCACAGCACCCCTCTGGATGCATTACTTCTTTGTGCTTAAATTCCATTTTCCTGTTTGCATTACAAAGCGGAGTTCCTTCCACGTGGCTCTGCTGTGGGGTCAGTGAGGGGCGGCCCTGTTTGCACAGCACCCTCAGCAGTTCTTTCAAAGAGGAAGGAAGCAACGCCCTGCCCCGGGGCTTAGGCATCCTGTTTGTGGCCGCTCCCTGCCCCAAAGTGGAAAAGATGCACATGCTAGGGATGTGCTTTCAAAGGGTGTGTAACTGTGAAGATCAGAGAAAAAGCAGAGAAGTGCCGTTTGCCCACTTAACAGCTGAGTTTTCCGAACTGCTGCCAAATGAGCAGGCTCCACGGCGGTCCCATGGCGCCATCCAGTGGACAGCAGGGGGAAAGCCATGATTTCGTCTTCTAAATCTAATTTACCAAATCAGTGTCTTCCTAAGAGGATCATTTAAGTTCACTAAGGGTTCGCTTGTCGTTCATTCAGTTTGTTTAAGCAAAAGAAAAGCTTAGAATTCTAAACACGAAACGCTAAAGCTGGACTCCTGAACCAGTTAGGGGTTATGTAACGTAAACTATAAAGCTCAGCCACTAGGGACAGAGAGGACTTCACTCCCTTGGTTCTCAGAGCCCGCGCACCTTGGCCGGGACCAGAGGCATCCCAGGCATTCTCCAAGAATGCAGACGGGGGCAGACTGACCTCCTCCAGACCTGAGTAGTAGCGGCAGCCCTGGGGTGCCCCGGGCTGTTCCCAGCAACCCGCTGGGTATTATCAAGCGCTGGTTGCTGGACTCCTGTGAGTCATCAGGCATTTTACTTTATCAGCATTTCTGCTCATCCTTACAGCACTGCTAAAGAGATATTAGTGTCTCCACTTAACAGATAAGGAAACCCACTCTCAGAGATCAGCCCCTGCTTGATTTTAGCTTCTGCCTCTGGTTCCGCCCCTCTGGCTGGGCAGCTGGGAGCCGTGTTTCTGCCACCAGGGTCCAGGGGTGCACAGGGCATCCCGTGGTGAGATGGAGTGCTGCCAGGACCTTCTTCTGGGGGCTGCATCCTGATGACCTGCTCTACCCCAACCCCCTCTCAAGGCTCCCCCACCCATGCCGTAATTGCATTCAGTGCCACCCTCACTGTATCATTAACTTAAGATTTGGGGGACCAGGTCTTTAACACGTGGGCCCTTGAGGGGCGATACCGAAGACCTGGGAAGCCGGCAAGCTGCACCTGCAGAGGCCTGGGCCAGGGTCCACCATCCAGGGATCAGCACACTCGGGTCCTGGCCTGGGGCCCCTGAGCAAGGCCCGCTGTGCCCACAGCACTGGTGGGGCACCTGGGAGCCGCACTCTCTACCCTGGGAAACAGGACTCCCACTGTAGGACATCCCCTGAGGTTCGCAGGCTCTGAGAATTTTGTCTTCCAGGAGCGGAGGGGATTCAGGGTGCTGGGGTGTCGTCTGCTGCGGGGAGCCTAGGGCCCTGGGGGGAGGGGACACGTGAGGGCCAGCAGGTGCAGCTGTCTCCTGTCACTCTCCCCGCCACACCCCATGGCGCCCTCCTGCTTTGTCCCCTGTAGGACAGACAAGGACACCAACCTTGCAAGGCTCAGTGTTGCTCCCTAAGCTTTTGCTTTAATGTTTAGAAATGCACCTGTGTGTGTGTGTATGCCCGCCCGCCCGGGTTGGGGGTAAATTTGCATCTCCCTGGGGTTGCACTCTTAGGAGTATGGAAACACTGCTCTGGACTAAACTGGGAGACCTTCACCTGGGACACCAGGAGCTGAGGCCACAGCGCCAGCCGTGTGGTCCCGGGAACATCTCTGTCTTTGTCCTGATTAGAGGCTGTGGCTGGGGTCTGGGTCTTGACCCTGCATGCAGGACAGGAGCCTTCCTCTCTACAGGCCCTCGCAGACCCTTGCCTGCTCCAGGGAATGGCCTTCGGTGCAGTCAGACGCCTGAGGGCCCCTCCTGGCCAGGACGGTACCCCGCCCCTCCCCACAGGGCCGAGACTCCCTTCCCCCAGAGCAGGGGCTGGGGCGCCTCCCAGCCTGCACACCCCAGGCTGCCCCATCTTCTCTTTAGGGCAATCACCGGCCAGGAGCAAGCAGCGAGCTGATGAGTGACAGGTGTGAGGGCTGGGGAGGCCCGGCTCCCGGGGTGGGCACGGACCGAGGGGCCATGCCCCAACCCCCACAGCAAACCCACGTCTGCCCCTTTCTGTTCCCAAGGCTGCTGCAGCGGGGAGTCCATCGCCATGGAAAGCGGGGACGGTGGAGAAGGTGCCCAAGTCCTGGCAAAGGACAACAGCGCTCTGAGTGTAAGACTCCTCCCCGCCTCCCTGCCTCTCCTGCATGCCCCTCCTCCTCCTCGCGGGGGCTCGCGCCGTGAGGACCCGCCTCCTCACGGCACCCCGAGTGGCTCTAGGCCCCCATCCCACCCCGCAGGCCCCAATCATCTCCTTAGCGAAGCTTCTGCTTCTGGTTTTAGTAATGAGGCGCTCCTGCTGGGACCCCAATGGTCCCGGTGGGAGAGCTGGGGGTGGGGGACACGCTGGGGCCCCTTCCCCGCCCCCACTGCTGACTCTGAGGGTGCCTCGCCCGCCCCCTTCCAGATCTCGGGGCTCTTCCAGCTGGACGACGGTTATGAAACCTGCACCTGCCCGGCAGTTCTCCCGGAGAGCCCCCGAGGGGAGAGGGAAGAACGCGACGGGGCGGACAGGTGAGCGCGAGACGGGCAGGGGGAGGGAGCGAACCCGCCGCCACCACCGCTCTGAACTCTCTTCTGTGCCTTTCAGGGCCGCGAGCAGCACCGAGGAGCGCGCTGCCCCGTGCCCGGGCGTGCGGGCTGCTCCTGCGGGGGAGACGACTGGTTTCCCCGCCAAGGCCGAGCAGGCGAGGGCAGGACGCCGGAGGCCCTCCTCCCTTGACCACTGACCCTCGCCGCCCACTGGCCTGGCGAGCGCCTTTTGTGTCCAGGGGCCGCGGGCGGAGGTGCCCCGGGCGGCGCCCGGGCTTAAGCAGAACGCGGCCTCGCGGGTCCTTGCGGCTGCGGGCCTGGCGACCGGCAGGGGGCGCCCGAGGGCCGCGCTGGGGTCTCCCGGGCCGGGAACCCGGAGCTTCGAGAAGGCGGCTGAAGACTGCAAGGCTGGAGCCCGCTGAACCTGAGCCCCCGAGGACGCAGCGCCCGGCCCCGGGGGCTCCGCGCTTCTTACAGACAGCGCTGTTGTGCTCATCGCAGGTGCTCAGCAGCACCCCTGGCCTCTCCACTAGGGGCCAGCACGCGCCACCTCCGCTCCTCCAGCATCGTAAATGCCTTCGGACAGGGCCCAGGGTGCCCGGGCGTCCGCTAGGAATGGGCTGAGAATCGCTTCGCCCGACCCGAGCCGCGGAGCAGGCACGCCCGCGCTCACGTGGCATTGGTGGCGGTCCCAGGACTGGCGGGTTTCAGGGACGGCTGGTCGCAGGTTGCTTCGGAGGGGGTTTGCCATTTGCATCTAGATTTCTTAGTCTTTGAATTCATTAAGTTATTTTATTTCCATCTTTCTAGTTAATTTTTTGATAGCTTCAGTCACCTGTTGATGCTTATTTTACTTTCAAGATCATTCGGTTTTCGAGTTATTTATTTTCAGTTATAGCTATTTTCAGAGTTACAGGTTTTCAAACTGGCTTAGAAGTATTTATTTTCAATTATTCTTATGATTATTAACATCTGTGTTGTTTCTTAGCCTTCGGTTCCTGGCGTCGTTGAGTTCTAATTTTTACAGTTATTATTAAAAAACACTGGAAGTTTTTGAACGACTTGAGTTATTTACTTTCAGGGTGAAATGGTTTTATTTAGGCTTTTTCCTAGTTATTTAGTTTTGCAGTTGCTTATGTTCATAGGATTTTTTCCCAGTTATTTTCTGAGTTTACTTTTATACTATGGCTCTTAATTAATTTTCAGCTGTTTCCTTTTTGAATATTATATTTTTAGACGTTTTATCCTTGGTGCTGTTGATATCTTTAGTGTTTATTTTCAGTTGCTTATTCTCCTTTTTTTTTTTTTGTTCTGTCTTATTTTTACATATTTCGTTCTCAGAAGTACTTGGAATTAGAATTATTTCACCTGCCAGTCAGGATTGAAGCAGGAGAGACAGTGCACCTGTTGTTTTAACAGAGAACTTGACATAAAGAAGCGCAGCTGCTGCGGAACAAGAGTGTGGCCGGGCACAGGTGGGGTGATGACAGCTCCTAGGCTCGGTGGGGGTGACCCCTTGGCTGGGCTCAGTCCTCTGAGGAGCTGGCACTAAGGGTGCAATTGGGGACGTGGGTGCCGGGAGCTGGGTGTGGGGCTCCGAGGAAGGGACATGGCCAGGCCAGCAGGGCTGGCGTCCCTGAGGGGCCAGGTGAGGGTGTCTGTGGGAGGGCTGGAGACATGGCCACCTGGAACTCACTGGGAGGGCTGGGGACATGGCCACCTGGAACTCGGTGCTGCTGCGGGACCAGCTGTGGCTCTCAGGGTGCGCACCAGGCCTGGATGGACCCACAGAAGGCCCTGGCAGCCTGGCAGAGGACAGAGGCGTGCCCTGGAAGCCGAGAACACGCCACTTAGCACCCAGCGCGCTGAACTCATGTTCCAGCATGAGCGGTGGCTTCCGCTTCTCCTGCAGTTGTCGGGGGTGAGCTGATGGCCCGTGTTCGTGGCCAGGCGTCTGGCTGAGACCTCTGTCCCTGCTTTGCTGTTGGAATGGCGTGGGCCAGCTAGCGCCTCCCATCGGACTCAAAACAGTCATTTCAGAGTTCCAGGAAAATAATGTGTTTCCCTTTGTTCCTAAAGAAGGCCTGTGATCAGGGGAATCAGCAAGGGGGAAGATGCGGGGCCAGCGTGGCCAGCAGGTGCCTCTTTGAGATCTCTTTGGAATTTAAGTTGTGTCGTGCCCCCCTCCCCTCACAATGAAAGACCTGTCTGGTGGACTCTGTTTGGGATGTGTAGACTCTGCACAATAAAGTTATTCCCCAAATCTATTCTCCGTTTCTCAGGTTCTTGTGCTTGAATAACTTTCAACTCCTCATTGTCCTGTTTTTCCCATGAGGACATGCATTTATTTATGGACAAGAGGACCTCAAAAAGTTCATGGGAAAATGGAATTAGAGCAGAAGTTAATTTCGCTGCAGAGATTTTTGAAATGCAGCATAGATTTCTTCAGGGACCGTTTCAAGATCAACTCCCTATGCTCTCGGTTCATTCCACGCCCACCCGTGGCCTGAGCGCGTCCCTCCATCCTGAGAAAGGTGCCGGCGCCAGCTGAGACCCAGGCTGCGCCGAGATGAGAGGCTGGCAGACCCGGCGGGGGACCTGATCACCACACGGTGTGACACGGAGCACCGCGAGGACACAGAGCTCCGCCCCGCCCCTCCCCGGTGCAGGCAGGGAAGGGTGACACCCGTGCAGGTGGACAGGAAGGAGCGTGGCATCCCAGCGCGAGGAACTGCACGGAGGAGCCGTGCCTGGCCGGGCTGCTGGCCTCGGAGCTCAGACAGGCACTGAGGCAACCCTGACCCCGCCTCCTTGGGTCCCCACCGCGACCCTGCAAGATGGCAGCCAGCGACGTCCGCGTCCAGCGCTTCCCCTAACCGCGCAGCTCACATCTCTAGGAACTCACTCCTCCCTGGCTCTGTGCGCTCACCCCAGTTTTCACTAGTCTGTTGGAAGTGAGTCCCTCTCTCCTTCACCTTTGGACCTCTGCTGCTTTGTTTAGAAAACATGTTTTGAGATTGATTTGAGAGGCATCCACACATGCAGATAGAGGGAGTGAGCAAGCGCACTCTCCCATCTGCAGTTTCAGTCCTCGGAAACCGACAATGACCAGGCTTGGGCCAGAGCCTGAGCTGGAAGCTGGGAAGTGAATCCACGTCTCCCGTGGATGGCAGAAACCCAATTCCTTGAGCCATTGCTGCTGGCTCCCAGGGACCGCTCCACTGGAGCGGAGACCCCAGCTCAGATACTCAGAGATGGGACGTGGGCATCTTAACTGCTAGGCCAAGTGCCTGCCCTTGATTTCCGCTTCTTGATCTTCGCTAGGGGATCGGAAGGTTGGGGCCAGCCAGCTGCTAGGTGCAGGCGACAGCAGCACAGAGGAGGCGGAGGAGGGCTGCGGTGGGGTCACTGGGGGACCATGAAGAGGGGCTGATGTCCTAGCCAGACTGCCTTCCTCCGGCTGCACGCTGCCACCCTGGAAGGGCTGGGCTGCCTTTTCCAACCCAGTCTTGTGAATGCAAGGGACTGAGGTGCCTAAAGGTATGCAGAGTCCTTTGCTGTGTCAGCCACGATGAACTTGAACTTGTATACCATGTGGAAACACAGGATGGTCCCATACAGTCTGTGAGCATGCAGGCTCACATGTTCTGTAATATGCATCCACTTGCCCAGGGTCGGATGTTCGTGTGTGTGTGTGTGTGTGTGTGTGTGTGTGTGTGACAGTCACTCAACACACTGCATGCAGCCTCGGCTGTTGTGGGACCCACCCACCCTGTCTTTCACCTTGGCCCAGTGGACGGCCTGTCTTCCTCCCACAGTCTGGCCCGCAGTCTCTACGCAGTAAGCAGTTGCTGGATGACTTGTGACCAGGGCACATCCTCAATGCCTTGGAAAGTAAGATAGATAGATAGATAGATAGATAGATAGATAGATAGATAGATAGAAACACTTTATGTATCACGTGTCATCTTTCTGTTTGTATAGATGAGACAGAACACAGACAAATCAGAACATCTCTTCCAGCATTTGGAAGGACTTTTCTGCCCTGAGGTTTTTTAAAATACAAGATTTATTTATTTTTATTTATTTGAAAGTCAGAGTTACACAGAGAGAGAGAGCAAGAGCGAGTGAGCGAGTGAGAGAGAGAAAGAGAGAGGTCTTTCATCCACTGGTTCACTCTGCAGTTGGCCATAATGGTTGGAGCTGCGCTGATCCAAAGCCAGGAGCCAGGAGCTTCTTCCAGGTCTCCCACACAAGTGCAGGGGCCCAAGGACTTGGGCCATTTTCTACTGCTTTCTCGGGCCACAGCAGAGAGATTGATTGGAAGTGGAGCAGCCGGGACTCAAATGGGCCCTTATGGGATGCTGGCACTGCAGGCGGCGGCCTCACCTGCTACGCCACAGCGCCAGACCCTGCCCTGAAACTTTCGTAACACTGCCTGTTGTCCCCAGAAGGACTCAAGAGTGCATGCTTTGGCGGAAGTGGTTGGACTAGAATAAGGCCTGATTCTATGCCGTTTGGTGCTGCTCTGTGTGCAGGCTACCCACACAACAATGCTGATTTTCTCTAAATATTGCACAATGTAATATTTAGAGAAAATAGAAGTCCTCTCAATCAGTATTTCCAGAGTGTTTTTTCAGAACCAGCAAGGGAATGCGAGATGAGCCGTTCCCTCCCTCAAGCTGTGCCACAGGAAAAGAAAAACGCTGCTGGCCCAGAGAAATCTCACAGGCAGATAACCCGCACGCCTTTGTTAACCGAGTCTATTTCCAAACTGCTGGCCAGCACAGGTCTTCCTCGTGGACTACTGCATGCCAGCTGTGTTAGCTGCTGTGACGCACAGATGGGATGCCGGCGCTTCAGGCCAGGGCATTGACCCGCTGTGCCACAGCGCCAGCCCCAGTAGTCATATCTTATGCTTTGGAATCATGCTGCTTTCATTTGCCAAGAGGCTACATACACTTTAAAAAAAATTTTTTTTATTTATTTGACAGGTAGAGTTATAGACAGTGAGAGAGACAGAGAAAGGTCTTCCCTCTGTTGGTTCACTCCCCAAATGGCCGCCACAGCCAGCGCTGCACCGATCGGAAGCCAGGAGCCAGATGCCTCTTCCTGGTCTCCCATGAAGGTGCAGGGCCCAAGCACTTGGGCCATTCTCCACCGCCCTCCCGGGCCACAGCAGAGAGCTGGAGTGGAAGAGGAGCCTGGTGCCCATACGGGATGCCGGTGTCGCAGGTGGAGGATTAACCAAGTGAGCCACAGGGCCGGCCCTACATACACTTTTTAAAAGATTAATTTGGGGGCTGGCGCTATGGCTCAGTGAGTTAATCCTCTACCTGTGGTGCTGGCAACCCATATGGGCACCGGTTCAAGTCCAGGCTGCTCCATTTCCAATCCAGCTCTCTGATATGGCCTGGGAAAGCAGTAGAAGATGGCCCAAGCACGTGGGCCCCTGCACCCACATGGAAGACCTGGAAGAAGCTCCGGGCTCCTGGCTTCAGATCGGCCCAGCTCCGGCCGTTGCGGCCATTTGGGGAGTGACCCAGTGGATGGAAGACCTCTCTCTCTCTCTCTCTCTCTCTCTCTCTCTCTTTCTTTATCACTGTCTGTAACTTTACCTCTCAATTAAAATAAAATTTTGAAAAAAAAGTGCTGATATAAAATGCTGGCATCATACCTTAAAAAATAAAATAAAAAATAAAAGATTTATTTGAAGGCAGCGATTCACACACATACACACACACACACAGATATCCCATCCCCTAAATGGCCACAACAGCAGGGGCCAGGAACTCCATCCTGGTCTCCCACATGACTGGCAGAGGCCTGAGCAATTGGGCCATCTTCTGCTGCCCCCCATCCCAGGCTCATTAACAGGAAGCTGAATCCAAAGCAGAGTAGCTGGGACTCGAAGCAGCAGCACTCTGATATGGGATGCTGATACTGCAAGCAGCCACTTAACCTGCAAAACCACAATGCCAACCCCAGGATACATACTCTTGATGACACATAAACACATACTGTGAGTAGAGAATCCTGAAATAGATCTCACCGAGTTTATAAAGTTGGTATGTCAGATCTAAAATTACAACTGAAAAGATAAATAGGCATAAAATGATGGATACTGGGTTCCCTGAAGATATGGGCAAATAATAAAGCTGGATTTTATCTCATTTCTTAGACAATGGGGAATTGCATATGGAAGACCTCAGAGTCAAATGCCAGACTTTCTGTCTGAAAAGTCAGATGACCTTACATAGTTTTGAAAGCCCTCAGTTACATACCCAGTAGCGTGAGCCAATCAGAAAAGAAAGCCAACCAGAAAGACGCCTGGCTTCCAAAACTCCCACCCTGCCAGGACGGGAAGATCCTACCCTAAAATTATGCTGACCAAAGACTCTTTTTTTTTTTTTTTTTTTTTTTTTTTTTTTTTTTTGACAGGCAGAGTGGACAGAGTGAGAGAGGCAGAGAGAAAGGTCTTCCTTTTGCCGGTGGTTCAACCTACAATGGCCGGCGTGGCCAGTGTGCTGTGGCCAGTGCACTGCGCTGATCCGAAGCCAGGAGCCAGGTGCTTCTCCTGGTCTCCCACACAGGTGCAGGGCCCAAGGACTTGGGCCATCCTCCACTGTACTCTCCTGGGCCATAGTAGAGAGCTGGCCTGGAAGAGGGGCAACCGGGACAGAATCCAGTGCCCCAACCGGGACTAGAACCTGGTGTGCCGGTGTCGCAGGCAGAGGATTAGTCTATTGAGCTGCGACGCCGGCTTGACCAAAGACTCTTGAAGTCTTCCCGGAAACAGTCTCTAGAATTCCCTCCTCTTTCAAACCCCTCCCAGCCTCCTCTGGAATGCGAGTGATGGTAGCTGACTCACAATCGTGAGCTTTGGATACTCAGCCTTTGATGGACTCTTATAGGTGATCTTTTTCCTTTTGATAAACAAAATAATTACAGGTTGGTCAAATAAAAGCAAATTAAAAGAAATCATGGACATTCTAGAAGACAGCATTTCAAGTAATAACCTTGGGATAGGAGGAATCTTTTTGGGACAGATGCAAAATCCAGAAGTCAGAAGGAAAACGCTAATAAATTAGGCTGCATACCAAGCAATACAGATTTTTCAAAGTGAAAAGATAAATTCATTTTCTTTCCTTTTTTTTTTTTTTTTTTGACAGGCAGAGTGGACAGAGAGAGAGAGACAGAGAGAAAGGTCTTCCTTTTGCCGTTGGTTCACCCTCCAATGGCCGCCATGGCTGGCACACTGCGGCCG